AATATGTCATTGGGCATGTTGGTGCATGCCTGTATTCCCAGCACACTGGGAGGCCAAGGCAGGACAGTCACAAGTTTAAACTCAGCCTAAGCAGCTTCCTTACACACACACATACACACACACACTCACACATATTTAGGCCCCATCTCTAAAACAAAATAATATAAAACTAAATTAAATTCTGGCAGTGTAGCTTAGTGCAAAGGCCCTGGGTTCAATTCTTAGTACTGCAAGAAAGGGAGGCAGCTGTCTGAACTCCCTGACTTTGTCCCTCTGTGACTCTTTTCTAGCCTTTCCCTCTCCCTAACCTCTGTGGTTCCATTATTGCTCTGCTTGCACAGCCAGCCGGTGGTTTCTTCTCCTGTCCTGGGCTCTTTCTGGTACAACACAACAGGCAGCTGAGACCTGGTGCTGGCTTCGGGGGCGGGGGTTCCAGGCAATCGTCCTGCAGTGGGAGGTTTGTGTGTGACTAACAAAGGACAGCGTGAAGGCTCTCTCATCCCTGTGTGCACGATGCTCCTCAAGCCAGAAACGAGGAGAACACAGCTAATCCACAAAGGGGCAAGTGCAGCCAGAGTCTGCCTCAGGGTCAAGCTGGAAATGGGGGCACTAAGTGCTGTCCCCTGGACAGTGTCTGCTCCGAGTTCTGGAATGACCATACATGAGCTCTGCAGGCCTTCCATTGGCACAGGGCCGTGCTGCAGTCTGAGTGTATATGTTAAAATCCTCACTCCTGTGGTGTTGGCGTTAGAAGGCTGTGTCGGTCAGCTTTCTGTGACTGACAAAGACGAAAGTTTACTTGGGCTCACAGCTTTAAAGCTTTCAGTCCACTCTCAGCTGGCCTCACTGCTTTGGGCCTGAGATGCCCACCATGGTGGGAGAGGGTGGTCAAGGAGACCCCTTCACCTCACGGCTGGGTGTAACTCAGAGGAAAAGGAGGAGCAGGGAATCCAGTGTCCCCTTTGAGAACAGATCCCCAGTGGCCTGACACATCCCTCAAGGCTCCACCTCTAGAGCCTGCTGAAAGTGGACTGTGAGCATCACCTGCCAGTTGAGCCACGTGAGGGTAGAGAGAGAAGACAGCTCTCATCAGGCCTGAGCTGCTGAAGCCTTGAACTTGGACTCTGTGTACATAAGCCTGCTGGTCTATGGCATCTTGATACAGCAGTCCAGATGGTCTAGGGTGGGGTAAGACTGGGCTGTGGCCGGAAGATGTTTATCAAAGGGTTATAATGGTTATATGGTTGCTGGAGGCCCTGATTTCAGACATTTACTAGACAAATCCTGGGTGAGCATCTGCTCTGGGCCAGGCTTCTGCTGGAGACGGGGAAGCCATCACTGTAGAAATTCTAGGCCTCTTCTGCTCATAAAATGAAAACTTGACATACATCAGTCAAATATTCCCAACTCTGTGAAGTGACAATATTTATCTTCGGGGACAATGGCCCCATGAGAAATTTCACCTTGTTGAAAGCAGGATCCTCACTGGAAGACATTTGCATTTCTTGCTTTTAAAAAGTTCCCACACACTAAAATAAAATGGTGTTCGTGTCTCAGTTTCTGGTTTTAATTTTCTCCCGTAGGGCCAAAATCAGATTTCAATTTCTAAGGAAGCTTATCATAGTGGAAATGGATTGGGCTTTTATACTGCATGGGTCTCTTCCGTTTGAAGCCCTCGTCTCAAAGGGCTTTATCTTCTGCTTTCAGGCAGATGTTCCTATGATCTCCAAATAAGCCCGCCACTGGGGCCTGCCTTTATCGTGAAATGTGATAAGGGGGCCAAGGGTCAGCTTTATTGCTCAAGAGAATGCTAAAACTTCACAAGAACAACATTTATTATCTGATCAGTTGTTGGCAGGGTTTATAGCTCTGGGGAAGATGAGCGAGTCCTCAAAGGTCAGCATCATGGTTTCCCTGCAATTAGGGAAGCAAAAGTCTCTAAAGCAGGGTTAGTTTATGAGCTTGTGTTCCCTGGGCGATCTGTGTTCCCTGGAGCTGACTGCATTCACCAAGCCTTTGTTTGGCTCTCCCCAGGTGCCCAGATGCGCTCCTCCAAGCCAGCCAGCGAGCTCCAGCACTTATACGCAGGCTGGTGGCGAGGAAGCCTGTATTTCCTGGTCACTCTGGGCTGGGCTGGCCTGGGACTCCACATGCAGGGCTCCAGGCAGTCTTCCTAGCAACCCCAGGGGAATCCCAGGTGAGCAGAGGCCAAGGTCAGACCAGGAAAGGCTGGACTCAGGCCCAGGTCTGTCTGAGCTATGGCTCCTGCCTAGAGAAACCTCCCAAGCCCAAGTGTGCAGTGAGTCTCAGAACAGACCTGTCTCTGTCTTGGAAGAGGCTTTCATACATTGACAATATGGGCGTGTACACACATTTATGTTTATGGATTCACATTCTTCTAGTTCCTGAGACTGCTGTATTCACTTGGGGAGTTTCCCCACTTATTAACTGAACAGCCTGTAGGGTGCTGGAGTTGATCATGATATAGGAAATGATATAAATGACATAAAGGAAATATAGAACTCCCAACCTGCTAGATGTTCCCCAGAATCAAAGAATGAATTCTAAGAAACAACAGAGGTTAAGAGTAGGACATATTTATCTAGAGGGAGAGATCTGATGGCTCCTGAGAGAGACACGAGGGGACCCCAGGGGGTTGCTGGAGACCCCACTTCATCAGGGAAATTTTATAGGGCAAAATCACAAGGTAGGTACAACGTGGGACAAAACTTCAATCGACCAACAAGGTCACAAGTCTAGCTGCTTAGGTCACGTGATCCAGAGGGGACTCAGGTCGTGTTGCAAGTGTACATGGAAAAAACAAAGATCTTTTTTAGGGAAGGGATGGGTCCAGAGGTCTTGGTCACCCACCAGAGTGACTGATGTCTATCTAGACTTTATTAGACAAGGTGTCACCACTTATCTTTCCCCTTGGGGAAGTACGCAGGCCTGGTCCTTTCGTCTTTATCTTGAGGCCTGGCCTCCAACAGATGTGCCTCCGGCCACAGTTGTAAGGTGTTCCCATCTTTTGCACTGACTCTCTCCAGGGCCTAGTCCTGTCTGGCTGCCTGTAATATTTCTGCTTAACTTAGCTGTCTATAATAATCAGAAGCAATGAGGGCACAGCAGTTGTGATCTGTCCCATTTCCTTCTATTATATAAACTAAGAGGAAAAGTAGAATATGGCAGAGTGACAAATACTTAAAAAGTACCCGGGGTCAAGATGGCACTCACCCAGCAGGTTCAGCTTGGGCCTCATCTCTTCCAGGAAACCTGCCCTGACTTCCCCCTCCACAGACTGGGAGGTGTCCAGCAAGGGACTGGCACAGCACTGCGTCTCTGTAGAAGCCACAGTATCCTGTGTGTCATGGAATTGACAGGCTGTGGGCGGGGGATAGAAAGTCAAGTGAAACACTGCTGCAGAGCAAGGCTGGAAAGGGTGAAAGGCAATGCCATCGTCCATTGCATGGCAAGAGAGAGGGTGCACGAGGAGATGCAGTGGCAAAGGACAGGCCATGGCGTGCAGAGATGGGTCTCGCAGGGCTGCTTTGGGGAGGTGCTGGCCCGGGAAGGCCTCCAGGCTTGGACTCCAGATGGGGCAGGGAAAATGTGGGCCCCACCCAGAGCCAGGGTGCCTAACTCCTCTCCAGGGCTGCCATTTTTTCTGCAAGAGAGCACTTCCTGAGCGGAGGCTGCTCAGAAAGTGGGCCTCTGCAGTGGCAGAGGACTGTGGTGAACTTGGGCGTTTCCCTTCTACTCTGAACTTGAGCGTCTTGGAGTTTGGAGGCCCCGACAGGCTATCAAGGCGTCCTCGGTCTCATATTGGCTGAGAGTTGGGCTCCCATCTGTCTGGCTCCATGCCCTTCACGGATTTCTTGTTAAATATATTCAGGAAGATCAGCACTGCACCCAGGGCAGGAGGCCCAGGGAAGAGAGTCACTCAGCACAAGATGTAGCTTAGCCAACGGGAAAAGGCAGAGCAAGACCTTGCTGCTTCAAAGTAGCAGGAGCAGGACCCAGCTTCTGGTCCTGCCCTTGGCCCCCACTTGGGCTTTCCAGATCAGGGCCCCCTTCCCCATGAGGCACCTCTCACTGCTTTGCTGGTTTTGCTCCGTGCCTTCCTCTTGCACTGCACCTGCAAGACGGGTATGGTCTGCCTGCCTCTCCCCTGCCCTCCAATGGGAGCTCACTGCTGGCTGGAGCTCCAGGCCCCTCTGGTGTCTGAGATCCAAAAGTGGCCTGCAAGAATAGTGTCCTAGCAGGTCTCCCTTCCCATCCATACAAACAAAAGGGCCATCCTGTGCATCTCCCAGTCCACCCAACTGCCAGGCTCGGAGCATGAAATAAACCCAAGTGTCTCCTGCAGCCCACAAGGCCTTGGCCCTCACCATGCAGCCTCCTTTAGAGCAAATCCTGGAGGCCCAGAGCTTACAGACTCATCCACCTACTTCCAAGTTCCCGGGACTCGTAAGCTGGTGGAATATGGAGAGCAGCTTCCCTAACAACCACTGGAGAGGCCTGAGGGTCACACACTCCCAGTCCCCATCAAGCACAGCAAAGGATGGACCTGGGCTGAGGTAGACCAGCTGTCCCCACCTCCAGTCCCCATCTTGAGTGGCCCATATGATTTGTGATGGGGATGAGGTTGGATCCATCCACTCCATGTTCAGGGCCCAGCCAAAGTGGGGGAGGTGGTAGTCGGCAGGTGGGCAGGTAGGCAGGTGTAGCTCGCAAGCTAAGGTCTCCTTCAGGGTGCAGCCAGCAGCTCTTTCTGCAAACAGAACTCCTGCAAACAGCAACAGCTTTTCCCTGTGCTGCCCTTCAGTCTCCCTCAGGCTCCGCAGCCCTATGGGCCTGGCTCCCCAGCAAGGCCTCCCTGTTTGATTCCCACCGGCACACTGCCAACCCTCCTGGGTGGAACAGGACATTCTCACTTTCTCACTGTGAACCGCATAATCTCACATGGTTAAAGTAAAACAGAATCACTTAACTTATGCAACAAGGAAGTCCACATGGCCAAAAGTTTAAAATCATGTCTGACCCCCACCTCCTGGACTTCATGGTCCTACTCTGGGTGAGTTCCTCCCAGAAGTAGGGAGAGGGAGCCCCCAGCTGTTTGCCGCCACACTCCTGGGGGTGGAAGAGGTCTTTCCCCAGCCTCCATAAGAACAGCCCTGGCTTGGGACTGGTCGCATTGGGTCATCTGTGCTTCCCGTGTCACCATCACAACTATGGACTAGGAGACAAGAGGCCATGCTTGTCCCTAGCAGCTGCACTGGTCCCTCGTGCATGGAGGACAGGCAAGGAGGGAAGATGTGGGAAGGAGGGGCTATGGCCTCGGCACTTGCTGGTCTGGGGCTGGAGGGGGTGCTCCTGGCTATCCAGAGACATTGTTTCTGGCCTCTTCTCTCATTTGCCTGTACTCTCCCTGGCTAGGTCCTTCTCCGCGCTGTCTGCTGAGTGTTCTCATCTGCAGATGCATAAAAGCAGTGTTGCTGATTGGCTTTCTCACTCGGAGTCCACACTGTCTCTCTATTGGCCGGGCTGGCCTGGGGGTACAGGTATCTCCCCATCCCTGCATCCCTTTTTCCAAAGGAGGCTGAGCTGCAGATTCGATCCATATGAATTCAGCACCTAAAAGGCATCCATCGCTTTCACGTCTATTATCTCTTTTTTAATTTTTATTTTTATTCGCCCATGTTTGCAGTGCAGGATGATGACCTTCTGCGTGGGAGTTGGTGCATGGACACAGCTCACGTCAGTGCTCACTACTCCTTCTCCCCTCTTCTTCCTCCCCTCTCCCTCCGTCTCTCAGTCCCCTTCCCATTTCCAAAAGATCGGTCTCCCTATTTTGTTTTGCTTTTTAGTGCAGTTATATTTGCTCATATAAGAGAAACCATACAATATTAATGTCATGGTCTCAAGGAGCATCCGTTTTCCTACAAATGACTCAAGTTTATGTTTCTCTATGGCACAGCAGTGCTCCATCGTGTGTAAATACCACATTTCCTTTACCTGCTCCTCTGTTGATGGGCATACTGACCACTTCCAAGATTTAGCTGTGATGAATTATGCCGCTATAAGCACGGGCGTGCGTGTATCACTGTAATGTGGCATCAACTCTTTTGGAATGATACCTAGAAGGGGAATAGCGGATCAAGTGGAATTTCTAGTCTTAGCTTTTTGAGGATTCGCCACACTGGCGTCCACAGTGGTTGCTCCAGTTTTCATTCTCACCAACAGCGTAGGAAGCCACCGCCCCTTCAGTCTTGCTAGCACTCATTATTCTTTGAATTCTTGACAATGCCCTTCTTTCTGGAATAAGATGGAATGTCAGAGTTGTTTTAATTTGCATTTCTCTAATGGCCAGGACATGTTACCTCCTTGCTTGCAGGATTACAGCTGAGGAAGTCAAGGCTGGGAGAGGTATGCACCCCTTATCTTAGTTTGCTAAGGCTGCTGTAATGACTCGTCACAATGAGTGGCTCAGAACAACAGGGTTTCTTCTTGTCTGCGCCAGGAGACCAGAATTCCAAGCCCAGGCATCGTCAAGTGCAGATTCTGCAGAGGCCTTGAGGGTTCTCTCCGATGGTGCTTGGCATTGCTTAGCCGATAGACTCAGGACTCAACATCTCCTGCCTCTTCACATCCTCTTCTCACGAGGACACCAGGTGTATTGTATTCAGAGCCCAGGATGACTTCTTCTTAGTAATTCTGTCAGCAACAATCCCATCTCCAGATAGGGGCGCATCCTCGGGACCTGGGGTTAGGGCTTCAGTGTGTCTTTTGAGGGTACACAGCTCAACCCCTAAAACCCATAAACAGTGAGGTCAGATATCAAATCCAGTCTGCAGCCAAAGACACCAGCTACCAGGCAATGCTCTGCATTTTTATCTTTTTAAAATTGCAACAGCCTGATTAGGTAAGCATGTCATCCATTGTTTAGGTTAGGACTTAAGGCAGAGGGAAGCTAAATGCTCAAGGTCAGCCAGGTGCAGCAGTCCAAGCCTGGAGTCCCAGCACTCTGGGAGGCTGAGAAAAGAGAACTGCAAATTTGAGCCCTGCCTGAGCAGCTTACTGAAACCCTGTGTTAAAATAGAAAAGGGGTGGGGTGTAGAGTACAACCTCAGTGCAAAGGCCCTGGGTTCAATCTCTAGTAATGCAAAGAGAGAGAGAGAGAAAAAAAAAAAACTAGCTCAAGGTTACCAAACTGCTTAGGAGCCAAGTTGAGATTTAAACTGGTTCCCGATTTACCTGCTTTCCCCAGCTCCACCTTGCTGACCATGGGGGACACTGATAAATGGTGGCAGAGCACCAGGGGAGTCCTGGGTGGACAGCCCACTACTGCCTGCAAAAGCTGGGGTAGGGCTGGCACAATGAAGAGCCCTGAAAGTCCTTCCTGGAGAAAGGGGCATCTCAATTGAGTGGGTCTAGAAGCAGAGGTCAGATTTCCCGGTGCAGAGATGGGAGGAATGAATATTTTGGATGAGGCAAACAGCAGAAGCAAGACTCAAGGACAAGAATGTCTTGAAGGAACCAACAGGCAGTTCCAGCTGTCTGGTCCATAGCCTGCACCTTCATGGGGTGCAGCAGCAGGAAGGGCTGTGCTCTCCCCAGACCCCACACTGTGGACACCCTCTTCCAAATCTGCATACTCAGAAGGCATCAGAAGCCCAAACCAATGGGACCAGCTGAGGGGGGCCAACTGCCCTTTGCGTCCCAGAGCCAAATGTGCTGCCAGAAGTGTGGAAGGCCTGTCTCTGCCGGCCCAGATCCATGCTAATGCCCAGTGAAAGCTTCTCAGTGTGGCACTGTTGCCAAGGGCAGCTCTCTGCTTCAGGCCCTCTGCCTGTCAGACCCAACAATTGAATAATATTTTTATTTTTAGGCATGGGCCACAGAGTCCTTTTTCCCCTGCCAGGTTCGCCCCCACACTGAAGCTCCTGGGATTGGGCCTCTGGATGCATGGGAAATCAGCAGCTTGGGCAGGAAGTGGTGGGTGGTGCTGGGCCAGGTGGGACACTGTGTCCTAGGGTGAGAAGGTGTTGTCCTCACAGGGGTCTCTCTTGTGTCCTGGTAGAACGGGGGGACAGCAGCACCGTCGCACAAGACCTGAGCACAATTGTGCCCATGGGGAGAGGCTGGCAGTGTGCAGGAGAGAGGTAGTGTGGGGTGGAAGGGTGTCCCCCTGGCCGGTGGCCTGTGGAGATGGTGACAGGGAGCAGGTGAACATCCAGGGAAGTTGTCAGGATCAACAAGAGCCACAGGACACCAAAAGTGGTGTGCTGCATGAGGCAGAGGCATGAGGAGCTCTGAGGGTTTAATCAGAGGAAGGGTCTAGCAACAGGACCCTCAGAGAGGGGCAAAGATGAAATTGGTCCCCTGGCTTAGAACAGGCTTTGTGCTATTGGCATTCAGGGCCAGCTAGTTCTGGGTCCTATGTGACACCCTCACCCCGCACCCCAGGAATTGGAGGACCTGTAGCAGGATCCCTGGCCTCCACCCACTAGATGGCGCTGACACTCCCTCAATTTGTGACAACTGAAAACAGACATTCCCAAACGTTCCCTGGGCCAAGACCAGGGGTAGAATTTTTCCCTGATGAGCCTTAGCGAGATCTGGAGGTTGAACTGGTTTGGGGTTTGAGGCTGGCCACCATTCCCAAAGGGAACGTGCAGGGAAGATACGCAGAGGGAGGTGACATTCCTCAAAGACGACAGGAGGCTGGAATCTGGCTCAGAAATGGCAGGACCTCAGATTGCTAGCCTGTGTAATGGGAATGATAACAGTGCCTGTCCATGGAGGCCCTGTGGGAGGGAGCGAGACTGTTTCTGGATTCGACACGGGGTGACCGTGTGCTGGGAGCAGCTAGTGTGGCTGGCACTGTTTATCTTTGTTACTTCCCTGCAGTAATCAGGCTGCCACTCTCCCCCTTGTCCCCACATGTCCCAGGGGACTGCAGGCCTCTCAAAGACTAAGCCAGTTCCCTTTTCCACCTAGCTGAAGAAACTTTGGGGGAGCTCCTCTCCAGGTCCTGCTGAAGTCATCTTTAAAGTGTCTGCGTAGAGTGCGGGTCACCAGAAGGATTTCTCCAAGGAGCTGATGAGGAGTTAAATGTCACAAGGCTTTCCCAGGGGGTGATGTGTTGCCACTGGCCATTTGACAGAGAAGAGAACCACTCAGAGAGAAGGGGGACAGGTAGGGTGCAGGCATCAAGCTTGATGGTGGCACCTGTCTTGCTTTGAGCTCGGAAGAGGGACACGACTGGGTGAGGGCATAAGTAAGAGAAGAGGTGACAGTTTCCTAAACTGTCACCTCTCCGCTCGGACAGCAGGGAGCTGTGGTGTTGAACACTGGAGCTGTTGGAGGTGGGAGAGAGCTGTGGACTGGCACCCGGTACCTCCCTGGCTGGGGACAGAGGACAGAACAGCCTTCCCTGCAGTCTCAGGGTGGGAAGCTTCCGACAGGAAGGCAGGAGGTGTGTGCCCATGTGCCATGTTTATTACACCCTTGTTTCATATTGAATCTGGACTCGAAACTGTTATGCAAAAAGTAGTCACTGGGGCAATGAAATATTTATGCTCTCATTGAACAGCAGTTTCCATTTTAGCAAAGCAAGCAAACTTCATCAAATCCTACCATTGCTGGCCTCTGCCCAGATCAACCCCAGCCTCAGGTGAGCCCAGCACAGCACTGTCCCTGGTCCCTGGGGGTCCCTTGAAAGCCAGGTCGGAGAGGGTGGGAGCAGTGTGCAAGCAGTCTTAACCCAGCCAGCAGAGCACACGTCCCTTGTCCTCCTCTGGCTAGTCTATGTAGGTGCTCAAAAGGCAGTAGAGCTTCAGATGCTTTCAGGTCTCTGTCACTACTTCTGCTGGAGCCTTTAGTATGCGCAGGGCATGGTGCATACTGGTTTTCATAAAATTGTCCAGTTCAAGCTAATAGTGAATGCACGAGGTTGTGGGTTAGTTCCTAACACTTTGTAGCAAGCTGTCACATACTTGGTGGCTTAAGTAGCACAGATTCATCATCTTACACTTTTGGAGATCAAGAATCCAAAAATGGGGCTATGGTCAAAGGTTCTTCAGGACATGTTCCTTCTGAAGGGTCTAGGAGATAATCCAACCCTTGTGTTTTTTTAGCTTCTATAAGCCGTGCACATCTCTTGGCTTGGGGCTTCCTTGAAGAAAAGGGTATGGGGTATGGGTAGATGGGTGGATGGGTGGGTGGGTGGATGAGTGGTTGGATGATGGATGATAGTAGGTGGATGGGTAAATGGGTAGATGGGTTGTTGGATAGATATCTGTACGGATGGGTAGATGGATGGAAGGATGATGAATGATGGATGATTGATGGGTGGGTGGATGAGCAGATGGGTGGATGAGTGGATGGGTGGGTGTATGCACAGAGGTATGGGTGGATGGCTGGGTGGGGGATGCATGGGCACTTAGAATGTCTTCCACCCCCTCTAGGTTCTTGTTTCCTTAACTGAGACAATTGCAAAGCATCCTTTTCCCACTCCAGTCACAGAGCCTCCAGCAACACCAAAGTGCTCCCCACTTGGCTTCTCTTCCCACACCTCCCACAGAACCAGTCTGCTCCAGTTATGAGAAAATAAGGAAGTCATTTAATCACCAGTGATGTCAGTCAGGAAAACTTAAACAAAGAGATTAGTTCTGCTTTTCTTTGTCAGTGCAATGGAGAGCATGAAATATTTCACAGCACCCTAATGTGGAACAGATGGGTGCAATGCTGGCTTTTAGGACCGTCCCTCTCTCTCACATCCACTGACAGCCAAGCTGGGAGTGTGGACAGGCTGGAGAGCTGCCTCAGGACTGCATGCCCAAGAACTGCAGGTTGGGATTGGCCTGACCCAGCCTGCTCGGTTATCCATTGAGAGGGATCAAGTTGCATTCCCGGGGAACCCTGGAAACGTCACTGTGGGCCCAGGTGTTGTATCAGGGTCAGGGCCCCATGAGCTTCTGCATTCATCATTGTTTTTCCACCACTTGTTGATTACATCATGGAATTTCTACCCACAAAACTTTGGAAAATCACCCAGGATCAAATTTTGGATAGGTGCTGTGTGGCCTTGGGCAAGTCAGTCACCTCTCTGAGCTGGTACTTTAGCAGTAACAGGGTGAAGTCCCTGTGGCTAAAGGGGAGATGAACTGCTCCTTTCAACCTGGGCTCAGCAGGCAGGAATCTTCCCTACTGTATGCGGCCCTGGGGCCGTGCTCACTACCCTAAGCGCCACAGGAAAAACCACAACAAAGACAACAAAACCCAGGCTCTGGGCAACCAGTCAAGTAACCTATTAGGCCCTCAGGGTAAAGAGATTTTGTCCCAGATCTGCAGCTCTGCTCTGTCCCCTTATGGCCTGGAGAGGGCAGAGGACACACTGTGGTCTGTGTTGCTTTGTGGGGCACATTCTTGGCCTCATGGGAGGTTGCACTGTCACATCCAGGGGTGGGCAGATCACCACACCACTGCTTTACTGAAAACAGCTCCTCGAGATCCTAAACCCGGCGTCAGTAAAGAATGGAAGAAAGGCAGTCTAGTATAACAAAAAGGATGGAAAAGCAAGAGGATAGACAGCTACCATGAGCTGTTAGTTGGCTTCTGCACTGAAAGCCCTGAGCTCCTATCCCTGGCTCCTTCATTAGACACAGCTGAGTTAGGCAGTCAGACAGGGCTGGGCCTCAGACAGTCGGACAAAGGCGGAACACATCACAGTTACAGCCGGAGACACATCTGCTGGAGACCTGGCCTTGAGATAAAGACAAAATGTCCAACCCAGCGTACTTCCTCCAAAGACAAACACCAGGCCTGATGAAGTCTACATAGACATCAGTCACCTTGTGGCTGACCAAGACCTCTGGACCCACCATTCCCTAGAAGTCTTTGTTCTTTCCGTCCACGCTTGTCACATGACTTGTTTCCAATTAGGGCCACTATTACCTTAGCGACTGTTCTTGTAACCTTATTGGTTGATCATGGCTGTAACCCACGTTGTACCCACGTGGGTTTTGCTCTATAAAACTCCCCTGCAAAGTGAGGTCCCCGGCTACCCACTCGGGTCCTCTTGTGCCTCTCAGGAACTATCTTCCCAATAACCATTTTCCTACTCTTAACCTCTGTTGTCCCTAGAACTCATTCTTCGATCTTTAGAAAACACAAACTCAGCATATCAGATAGCTAACAAGTTGGGAGATGGGATATTTCATATTTCACCTCCTGAACCACTTTTATCGGGCACCGGTGTCTTCCCATCCCCAGGGGGACACCTCTTGCTATCTGATCTGTTGGCTTGACTGTCTTTGATCCTAACCTAGGCCTTCTGGCTGCAGGGTTTCTTCCTGCCCCTTTGTAATGAATCCATGAAGAAGGAGGGCTTATTAGGAAGGCAGCTTACTTAATGATTAAGTGGTGCAATATTTGCTGATGTTACAGTGGGAACACACGTGTGTTTAAGCATAGGTGTGTGCGCGTGCATGTCTTACATATCAGATAAGAGTCCTTGGGTGGCTGTCCCTTACCGCCCTTGCATTTGTGGGGTGGGTGAGGGGAGCTGACTTTCCCAGTAATTGTGTCACCTGGCGCCTCCCCAAGTCTGGCTAGCTTTCCCTTCCTTTTTCTCCCTAACTACCCTAACTGCAAAGTCTACCTGTGAGGGTAGACTTCAGCAAGTTTCCGAATTGATCTTAATAAAGCTCCAACAGGCCTTGATCCTATCTTTCTCTACCTACAGGGCCGCCTGCCCCTACAACAGGAGGGCAGGGCCGGAGGGCCACTTTCTGAGAGGCCTTCGGGCAGCCCTCTCACCTCTCTCAGCCTCGTTTTCTCCTTCAGCAGATTCGGCGCAGTGAAAGTTCCGCTGGCTATGGAGGAGTCAGATGGAGGACGTGGTGGACCTCCCAGGGGTGCTGCGGTCACGTCACCATCTCTCTGTGCCTGCTATGTGCTGCCCAGACAGCAAAGGGCTCCCTCCCTGCTGGCCTCCAATTCCAGATAAGTTCAGATCTTGCCACACAGGAAACCGTAGCTTGTGGGAGACGACTGCCCTGGAGATATCCCTTGGTCAGGATGGAACTTGCCTTTCATCCGAAGCATGACTGTAAGATGTTTGGTAGCTAAATGTACCCACTTTCTTTACAGGGCCCCACAATGCTGAGCCCCACAATGCACCCACAAGCTCTGGTTGCTGCTCCTCAGATCCCTCCCCTGACTGCTCCAAAACCCAGTGCCTGACCCCACAAAATCTTGCTTGTTTACCCCATAATTTTCTTTTTGGAACCCAGTTTTTGTTTTTTGGCTTGCGTTTAATAGTACCAGGGATCGAACCCTGCTTTGAAAAGAGAAGAGCGCTCCCCGCACCGCAGTAGCCCTCCAGCCACGCACAGTGCCCAGACCAGGGAGCTGGTTTCTGAAGAGCTGACCCCATGGAACAAGCATGGAGGCGGGGCCCCGGGGACAGGCGGGCAGGGCCCTCCCAGGATCCCAGGCTGTGGCCAAGGGTGCTGTGGATGGGGCTGTGGGTCCCCTGTGTGCAGGGGTAGCTCTGTGTCCACATGTGGCTTGCGTGGGTGTGCAGTGTCAGTCTGTATTTGCCCGGATCTGTCTGTGGTGTCTGTGTGTCTGGGTGGCCTCTGTGTACTTGCTAGGACAGAGGTGCATGCAGGGGTGTGAGCCTGGGTGTGTGAGATGTGTCGGTTGGTGGTGTGGTGGGTATGTGATGTCCGTGTGGTGTGTGGTCAAGTTTCAGGGTGTGTGCGAGTGTGTCCAAGTATGGTGTATGGCACTTGCATCTGCCAGTGTGCCTGTGTGGCTCATGTTTACACCTGGCACGGGGATTCATCCATCTCAGGGACTCCTGGGATGCCCCGGCTTCTGCTCTCACACATCTCCTCCTGGTTTGCAGGATGAGGGTCTGAGGCTCAGCCGTGCTCCCCATATGACAAAGAGGGACTGGGGGTGCAGAGGGGTGTGCAGCAAAGTCGCAAAACAAGTTGGTGACTGGAGCTAAGGCCGGGACCATTTCTTCAGATTCACAGTGCAATGAATGTATTGGCCATGGTGGCGCACGCCTATAATCCCAGCATTTGGGAGGCTGAGGCAGGAGGATTGATATGAGTTTAAGGCCAGCCTGTGTCTGTCTCACACACACACACACACACAAACACACAATGCAATATGCTCTCTCCTGGTCCGCACAGGGAGGTAAGGACAATCTTCTAGGCTCCGATCACATGGAAGGACCTTGCTGGGATTCAGGGTGAGTGCCTTGGACACTGGGTAGGAAGTGGTGCAACAGAACCTTGAATGGAGGTTGACAGACAACTCAGAGAAGATACGGGCTTTGTATGATGAGGCAAAGCTGAAGACATTTTGTAGGTAGTTATTAACCCACACAGAATCCAGTAACTTGAATGCTACTTGAATGCTTTATGAATCATTTTATCTTTCCTGGCCATATGGCCTGTAGGTCTATGCAGGTTAAATAGGAAGAGACATCAAAGTAAAGAATGGAACCAGACAGAGGCACAGATGAGAGGGTCAGAGCCACAGAGGAGATCACAGAGCAGGGAGGGGCGGCTGACAGGCCACAGGTTGGCCTTTGGAGGTGGGACGAAGTCCCAGGCATATGAACCTCAGTCATAAAGGGTTGGCAGGGGAGAGATCTGTGGAGAGAAAGACTGTGGAGGCCAGTGCGCCCATGGGAGGAGCCATACTGGCCATGGGCCTCACCTGCAGCTCGTCCGGCTTTTCATGAAGGGGACCCTCACTGCAGGTCTCATCGCTATGGTCCCCGTGCTGACCCTGTGCCCAGGCCTGAAGGCTTCGCTCACTGTCTCATGTGTTCACCTCGTGAGCTGCAGGCAAAGGTGGGTATCTTACAGCTGAATACCTGAGATCAGGGGCTCAGAAATGACAGAAATTCATTTCTCACATTCTGGAGGTCAGAATCGCTGGCAGATTTGTTGTCTAGTGAGCTCCACCTCCTGGTCCATAGATGGCGCTGTCTGGCCCTTTCCTCATGTGGCAGAAGGGCAAGCCAGCTCCCCAGTGTCTCTATGATAAGGCCCCAGTCCCATAGCTGAGGATGACCTCTCCAACCTCCTCACCTCCCAAAAATCTCACCTCCCAATGTCATCACTGTGGGTGCTACAGAACCCTTGCACCCACAAGGGTGTGTGTGTGTGTGTGTGTGTGTGTGTGTGTGTGTGTGTGTGTGTGTGTTGAGGGAGTGGTATTTTCAACGTATGAATCTGGGGATATAAACGTTTGTTCAGACAACAGTCATGGCCACTTTCGAGGCACCTACCCCAGATGGACCCTCCCTTACCAGAGCGCACCCATCGCTTCCCCGGAGGCCCCAATGCCAGCCGCCTCAGGAATGGAGAATCGAAGTCTGGTGGGCACCTGGCCTCATGGGAAGTTAACAGTTTCCATGACGACAGGGTTGTGGTCCCTCTGAAGGCTGGTGACTAGTGACAGTGGAGAAGAGAAGACCCCTTGGGCCACACCGAGCTGTCCATTCGGTTGTCCATCTCGTGTGGAAGGAGAAAATTGTGTACCGGTCTCCACAGACAGAGCAGGCTCCTGAGGGCGGGACTTTTAGATTTCCACCATTTTATTTATTCCTGACATTCAGCAGAGCACAATAATATTCTTTAATTCATTGGCTTGTTTGTCTTACCATGGAGCTCAGGCTGGCCAAGGCCCCCCAGCCTCAGCTCCCCAAGTGCTTGATTTTACAGGCATGCGCCACCACGCCCAGCTTTGAATGAATTATTTTTCTTGTGGTAATGAGCGAGGATGGAATCCAGCGCCTTACAAGACAGGCAAGTGAACTACCACTGAGCAGCAAACACTTTACCTAATTCTGTACTTTGCTTTAGGAAGGACGGTCAGGGGCTGGCTGGAGAGCTGGAGGGAAACAGGGGAGCCCTTGCACGCATCTTGGGCGTGATCTGAATGCTGACGACAGTCCCAGCATGGCGTGGGGGTTGGGATCTTCTTCAACAGTTGGACGAGACAGTCAGCTCCCAGGGCTTGCTCGAGAACAAAGAAACACAGTGGCGGGACAGTGGCGACTAGTACAGTTTCATTCAGAGGCTCTGAGACACCAGGTTAAGGGTGAATGAGGATGGTGTTCATGACTGGAATAATGGCCAGCTCGTGGACAAGTGTGGGGTGGACCCTTCCGTGTCAAGACGGTGGCTCCTTTGTTGTCTTTTCTTTTTGCTGAATCCTGAGCCAGCCCAGACCTCTCTCAGAAGTGGCTTTCCTTTCATTCAAGGCTTAAAACTTAAAGCATCAAGCAGCAGTTGCCCCCTCCCGGTCTGGTTTTGCCTGGGGAAAGGCAGCAAGGAACACGTACCGGAAACCGGGGTATGTGTCGATGATAGGTTGGCTGGGGTCCAAACAGTGACGTTTTCCTTATCTTTACCCTTTCCTCCGTTCTTCCTTGCCAAACAGAGGATTGGGAGATAGAAACAGACATTTTTAAGGTCCTCCTTACTCAAGATTGTGAAATCCTTGGCCTGGGTGGAGCTGGAGGGAGCATGTTATTTTTTTCTCCAAAGTGAAGAGTCCCAAGTTATATGTCAGTGTTAAGAAAAAACCAAAACTGACAATTAGATGAGACTTTCATGGACTATTTCATAATCATTAGTCTAAAAAAGTGTATATTAGTAGCATGTAACCATTCTCACCTGCCTATGGGCCTGCCACCCTGAACACCCCTGATCTCATCTCATCTTTCCTGCCTGCAGAGAATAAGAAAACAGAAGGTAACCATGTGGCTTTGATCTAGATGTTCCCCCCAAACCTCACGAGCTCGTAGCTGGGGATTTGGGGGTGACTGGATCACGGGCTTGTGGTATTGGATCACACATGTGTGTTCTTGCTGCGAGGCCCTGAGTAAGCAACATGGCTCCTTCTGGAAGCCTAAAAGAGAGACGCTGGCTGGGCAAGGTCACTGCAGGGGCAGTGGGCGCCAGGGCTGGTGAGATGGTGACAGGAGAGGCCAGGGTCACATAGCTGAATCACACCCAAGCCTAGGGGTTCAATGAGAAGTCCACGAAGCTCTCCAGTGTGACACATCCCTGTTGGGCTTGCAAGGAGGCCCTGTACTTACTCCTGCAGGATGCCTGGCTGGAGGGAAGAAATCACATAGTAGTGAAAATGAAAGACTCACCCAGCCAGGAATCCGGGAGAGATTCAGAAAATGTGTATGTTTAATGTTACTCTCACGTGAACTGAGTGCCTGGGAAGGTGTTAAATGAAAATGACAGCTGCTGGGTGCAGTTTTCTCACTGAAACTGTGTTTTAACAATAAGATTCCTGACCCGAACTTTGACGGCTCCACTGTAGAAATAAGTGTGTGCTTCACGTTCCGCTAATGTTCGTGACACACAGCAACGCCAGGACCAAGTCCATGCAGACCCAAAGGGCAGAGGATCCCAGGGGACAAAGTTCAGTCTTCACAGAATTTAGTTTTTGGACAAGTAATTAGAAGGCGAGGCCCTCAGTCAAAGCCGTGGGATGCACAAGGGCATGTCAGGGGCATTTGGCTGCGCTCTAGGGCTTCAGATCAGTGACCCACAAGTACTTGGCAGAATTCTTCCTTTAGTAACAAATGCCCTGTAGCACACAGGGGTCTAGCTGCTGCCCACCTGGAAAGTGGCTCTGTCACTTCTACCCTTGCCATAGCAGCTGTGGGGTGGACACCACCATCATTTCCTATGCCTGTAAGCAGGCCAGGCTGGGGAAGCCAAGGACCTTGGGTCCCGAGAAGGCAGCCTCTGGTCCACCGTTGTTCCTCCTCTACAGACACAGTGCTCCACGCCAAGCAAACTGTCAGGACTGAGTGCATGTGCAGAATGGCTCCAGGCAGGCACTGACCTGGGCAGCAAGTCCGAAGGTTCAAAGTCTTCATCACCCAATTCCTGACCCCTCTTGCATCAGCACAGAGATTAGGCAGTGTGGTGGTGCACACCTGTAATCCCAGCACTCAGGAGGCTGAAGCAGGAGGGTCCCTGTGAGTTTGAGACCAGCCTGGACTACACAGTAAGATGTTGTCTCCTAACAAAACCAAAACCACTAAGACCAAAACTCTGTCCCTCCCTTTCATCAGGGAAAGTGTACAGGTGTGATGTTTCTCACCTAAGAACCTGCCTCTCTTCCTCCAAAAGGAGAAGGATTTCTAAGCTAACAGAGATGGAAAAAAAAAAAAAAAAAGAAAAGAAAAGAAAAGTATTACATGAGTTCTTGGAATAATGGCAGGGTTTTAAAGGAATTCTCATCTGGGGGATTAGGTGACACGAGAGGCAAGGCTTTGCTAAATCCTTCTCTTGGAAAGTGTGCACCCCAGGCTTTTGGAAGCAGCAGATTCAAGGAGCACATGTCGTCTTGGCCGCCCAGATCACACAAAGGGCCATCGCTGGAGCCTCTCTACGCTTGCAGCAAGTCCTGGGCTCATGCGTAGGGTTCCAGGCCTCCTGGTGAGCAGGAGAATGGTGTCCCCTTTTCTGGGGACAGGTCCTTCCCTACCCTTCTCATTTGCATCTTACAAGGCTCTTGGATGCCAGATCCCCAAACCTAAGAAGTGTTTATTAAACAAATGTCACCAGGGCCTTGATGCTCAGGAAAGAAGTGGCTGGAAGTCCTGTTTACCCACAAGTTTCCATTTCCTGGTCACTTCTGGCCCTGTCTCTGTACTCAGTGTGAATTCTGGAATGTTCTGATCCTAGGACAGGGACTGAGGCCTTGGAGTTAGGGATATTCTCGAGTTCCTCCAGGGCTGTGACTAGTTACGGCCTCTTCAAGGCTGATAGGTCATCGACCTGTCTGGAAAGGAGCCGGGGCGGCCCAACAGCCCCTCCCCATTAGAGGTGGAATCTCCAAACCACTCACCATTTCATAGACCAAAATAGAGACTTTTATTTCCAAACATCGAGCAGATACATTTAAAAAGAGAAAGAGCGAGAAGAGTAAAACAATAAAGAAAATATCAAACCATCTTTTAGAACACTGTGACTTCCAGCTTGAACAAAAGGGATGGGACCTTACACTTTCAAACACAGCCTGGGAATTCAATGAGAGGGTCTCCATGTCCCTCTCTCCATATAGTGGGGAAGGCGGGAGGCCCTCAGCTGGCTTTGGACTTGATGGGCACGGAGGTGACACACGTGTTCCCAGACTGTCACCCGGCTGAGATACTGCTGCCTTCTTCCCAGAGAGCCTCCCTGACTGCAAATCCCTGTTTATAGCCACAAATGCCATGACAAGGGCACATGGCCCCTCTGGGCTCTGTTTCTGTGATGGACCATTTTAAACATGGGATGAGCGTGCTCCTGACACCAGAGACAACTTAGGCAACATCACACACGCACACAGCCCCTACCGAGTAATTACCTGGTCATACCGCATGAATGACACCGTGCCAGACACACGAGTGGGTCAGTAGTGAGTGACAGGGTCCCTGTCTTTAGGAGCAAAGGGTGGGGTGAATTGCTCATGTAGACTTGGCATGGGGCAGAGTGGGTACACATGGACTGAGGCTTCCAGTTTGGGCTCTGAGAGGTGCCAAGCTCCCTGCTCCCTGCCCTGTCTCCTGGGAGGGAGGCAAATGACACTATTGAACCACCAGGGCTGGTATTGGAAGTGGGGGGTGGAGGGTGGGGGGAGAGAGAGCACCCGTAAAGCTCCGCCCTCCTTTGTAAGCAGGTGTTTCCAGATGGCAGAGACCCCTTCAGCCATTCTCTTGTGTGTAGGGGATGTCAGGAGGGACAGTTCCCACAACAGCTGCCAAGTGTGCACATCTGGGAAATGGTCCTGGGCCAGGGTGGTCTCCCTGAGTTCCCATGGTCTGGGGTCTCTGTGGTCCCACGACCCAGGGCTGGATCAAGGGCTGGTCAGCCACGCTTCTGCCTGGGATGTGTGTCTAGTCCATGTACACACAACTTTCTCACCGCACCCACTCCTCCCCTCCTTGAAGATACTCCGGGAACACACACAGCCACTGCCCCTTAGCTCCCCTTGGGAAGGAACTGAGGGTGCACAGCAGGCGATGACCTCACAAAACATCCTCTGTCCCTCGCCATTTTGCAACATTGGGTCTGTGATGGGTGGAGTCTTGCTGATTCCTGAGATACCCTCAATGGACTTTTCTCTTGTCCCAGTTTAAGGTACTTGGTATCTTCTTAATGACAATATTTTCCTCAGCAACCACACCTCCTTTGGCCCCACGTATGTGTTTTTTGGGGGGCCAAAATTTAAATTTTGGGAGCACTGGGAGCAGTGGTTGGTGCCCTGCCCTGCCTCTGCCACTCCCTGGTGCTGCCAGTTCCCTTGGGCTGTGGAGTCAGACTCCTGGCCAGGAGTGAGTGCAGGGAAAGGCCTGCCACCCTGCTCTGGGGTAGCACCCCAACACACCAGTCTGCTGCCAGAGCACAGTGGCCTGTGTCCCGTGGCAGGGAGGCCCACACAGTGGCAGACGGGTCACTTGTCTTCTAGGGGCCCATCGTCCTTGGGCTCACTGTCTAGCTGGTTGCGTTTTGGCAGGCTGCTGATCCTCTCTGAGCTGTGGTTCCTAGGAGATCATGGCTTCTAGGAATCCTTCCTTCCCTTTTCATCGTTTGTCCCCTTTGTTCCTGCTCCCAAGGTATCAGGAATGGATTGGTCTGGTGTCCCTGGTTGCTGAGCTCAGAGGTTAGCGTTCTAGAAAGGAAGCCAAGATCCTTCAGAGAAACAGGTTCTTCCTTTCGATCGCAGTCTCCCGCCTGCGCATGTGGTTGGGAGCCATAGGATGTTACCATGACAACTGGAAAGCAGACGAGTGCTGAGGGATACCGAGTACTGCAGACCATTCTCTGAGGCTCTGGGTGTCCTCCTGTAAGATACGCTTTGGGCCACAAGCTTTTGTTTGCCAATGTCCTTTTGAAAACAAAGCCGTCCTTGTTCTAATTTAGGTGGGCGTTTCTCAGGTACACTGAAGCCAGGGGAGAAAAGATGGCTGGCCCTAGGGTCTTTGGTTGTGGACACCTGCTGGAGGGATTCTGTCTATGGGGTGACAGTGGGGTGGCCACCCACGTCCCTCTCCAGGCTTCAGCGGTCTGTTAGGAAGGGGCTGTGCTGGAAGAGCGGGAGGCCTCCTTCCCCGATTTTGCACCCAGGGGCTAAGTGCCACACCGGTGCACTCTGCCCTTCTTTCTTGCTAAAAGAACCCATCTTGTTGGGACACGTGGGCCGACAACTGGCAGATGTGAGGGAATCCTGTCAACCAGCCCTGACCCGGGAGAGAAGACCGGAAGTCACTGGGCGGAGCCTCTACAAGTGCCCCTCCCCTTACTCCCGCTTGCCACCAATAAAAAACTGGAGGTGGACAAGCAATTTGAGCCACGAGATGGCAGTGGCCGGAAAAGAAAACCGTGTCCCGAATGACATCCATGAACTGAGGATCTCTCTGTCTCTCTCTTTCTCCATCTCTCTGCCTCTCCCTCTCATCTGTCTTTCCCCCTCTTGCCTCTCCGTCTCTCCTGGGTCTCCTCTCTCTTACACATGCACACACCAGCCTGGCCTGTGACAGCCCCTTTGCTCACCCCAGCTTCGAGAGCCCTCTCTCCCCAGGACAGCGGTGCGGCACCCACCTTGGGTTCCCCACGACACCTTCCTCAGGGCACCCTCCCTCACAGCCTGGGCTGCACACTCTGTTACTGCGCGCCCTGGGCAGTAACACTCATCCACACCCATTTTCAGCAAAACAATCCATTAGAAAAGCACCTGTGACCAGGCTATAATATCATATTACAACTGTATCCATATGAAAGTAATGAAAATATCATTTCTCTCTAAAGTTATGCAAATAGACTTTATGGCATCGTTATCAAAGTTTAAAATTACAGAGATGTTTCTGCCCAGCAGCACACATCCAGCAATATCTCCCTCCTGACATATCACGTGCAAGACACAACCGGGACAGGGCTTTTTCTTTTCTTTTTCATTTTTTGTGGTACTGGGGATTGAACCCAGAACCTGAACTACATCCCCAGCCCTGTTTTTATTTTGAGAGGTCTCACTAAGTTGCTAAGTTGCCCAGGTTGGGCTCAAACTTGTGACGCTCCTGCCTCAGCCTCCCAGTTAACAGATGTGTGCTATGGTACCTGTTTTTTGTTTGTTTGTTTTTTTGTTTTTCTTCTGTATTTTTCTGCAATGATGGGGATGGAACCCAGGGTCTCACACATGCCGGGCAAGTGCTCTGCTGCTGTGCTGCATCCAGGCATAGCCTCTTCCTCTTGAACGTGCTCCCCCTGCTTGGCTGCCTGGTCCGGCTCTGGCCTTAAAGCACCTCGCTGTGTGGCCCAGGATGAGTTTCTTCCCCTCCTGGGCCTCAGCTTTCTTGCCTGGGAAGTGTAGTGAGATGTATCCCTTCACCATTGCTCTGAGCTCAGGCTGGGCCGCCCAACTGAGGGAGCCCCAGGATTTGGTTGCCTGCCTCTAGTCTGGGTAAACTGGTTGGTTCCCTGTCCTGATTTCCTGAAACACCACAGCCTGTGGAGAAGGCCTGGGCTAGGGTCCAAATAGGTAGAAAAGGGAGCTCTCCCAGGCTCCGCCTTCCTGCCCAGGCCCAGATCCTCCAGTCCCGGCCAACCAGAGCGCTGGGGACAGCCTGACCCAGGGTTTCCCTGCCTTGGAGAGCAGGGCTGGGGTGAGGACACTCCCCCCACGTCTCAGTTTCCCCTCTGCTTAAAGTGCCCATTTGCATCTGAAACATTTTCTGATTCCAAACCTGGTATAAAGTCTGAGGAAACCCCTCCCGGGTGCCTATGAATAGCTGAATAGATAAATCCATCTACAGGGTGGGTACTAAGTATTTTCTAAAAAGAAAACGTTTAGTGTTGATTTAGGGAAAACCTAATCCAGTGATTTGGGGCGGGGGTCCTGGGGATTGAACCCATGGCTTTTGTACTGTTATACTCCCATCTTTTTTTCCTTTTTTAATTTTTACTTTGAGGCAAGGTCTCACTAAGTTGCTAAATTGCCTACTGGGCTCCAACTTGCATCCCTCCTGCCCCAGCCTCCTGGGGTGCTGGGATTATAGGTTTGTGCCAGTAGGCCTGGCTCTGGTCCAGTTTTAAAGCACTTAGGAACCATCCCAGAGTTCTATGGCAAGGAGAAACCAGGTTTCCAGCCTCCAGGCCCAGTGCCCAGACCTGGCTCCAGCCAGATAGGTGGCCTGGGCCTTGAGGCCATGCCTGATTCCCAGTCTCTCCTGGGAAGGGGAAGGAGAGTCCCTGAGGCAGGCTGAGCTCTCATCTCTGTCTCAGACCTTTGGGCTCAGGCCCCTATATGGCAGGTGCCGCCCCTGCCCCTTCAGCCTACATTCTAGATGACATGAGATCTGTGAAGGTCACAGAGGTGACCAGGCTCCCTGGACTCCCGTGGGCTCCTCTCCCTCTTCTGCATGGAGATGAAAAACCTAGTCTCCTTCCTGCCCTTCCTCCCCGCACAGCTCATGTCTAACCACTTCCTGAAGGCCCTGTGTCAGAGCAGGGACACCGCTGCTGGTGGCCTGTGCCACCAGAAGACCTGGAGCAGCTCCTGCCCTGGTACCACTGTGCCTCCCTGCCTGCCTCCAGCTGCACCCAATCCTCCTTCTGATCCATATGCCAAATCTTTGTGGTTAAAAAACCATCTCCATGTGCAGAAAGTGAGGGGCTGCCTGTCTCTATGCGGACAGCTCCAAGGCCATTTCACTGACATCTGGGTTAGGGGCTGGCTTCTGGGTAAGAGGCCGACACCAAGGTGACATGCACGGTTCCTGCTTTCAGGGGCTCACTACAGGCCAAGGCCCAGAAACTACAAAATCCCACAGAGAAGCTGCTCGGGATGCCCCCAGCTACAAATAGACATCATATATGGAATTATATGTACTGAGCCTTTAGATAGCGAGCATATAAAAATTCTGTACTTGTTCCCCTAGCTGCACATGGTATAAATAGGCGAAGAAAATGCTGTATAAAAAGAAAGGTTGTCCTGGGACCCTGCCGCAGCATCCGTGACGAGGCAGCTCTGCAGCCTCTGGTCCACATCTCCAGTTTCTGCAGCTGGGGAACTCAGAGAAGCCCCGGAGCTGCTGGAGGCCGAAAGAGAAGGTCACTATGTACCCCACGGCAGGCTAGGTGGGTGGGGGACCGTTGTAGCGGAGCATGAGAAGCAAGGAGCTGGCGAAGTTGTTGGCCCGGGTGCAGCTGTGGGCTTCCTCCGCGGCTGGCAGCAGGAAGAGCAGCAGCAGAAAGAGCAGGAGCAAGAGAAGCAACCACAGCACCACGCAGCATGCCTTCCGGAGCAGGGAGCACGGGCCACGCCACCACCGCGCCTGCGGGACAGACATAGGACATGAGTGGCTCCACAGGCTGTTCTGTGACAGGTTTTCCGAGGTTTGCCTGAATCACAGATCTCTGCAGTCATCTCAAACCATTCAGGAGCGGGAAATAAATAAATACAATCACAGGTGGCACCCAGTGGGTACATAAATCCTGGCCTGCCATACGGACAGTCCCCAACCTGCCATGGCCCACGTAGTGATTTCTCAACTTTCACAGTGGTGTGAAAGTGAGACACATTCAGGGGAAATTATGCTTTGGGTTTTGATCTGTTCACGGGCTACAGGCATCTCGAAAGGCTGGGTGGGAGCACTGAGCCGCAGCTCCCAGGAGGCCCTGCGGTTACAGAGCCGGACCAGCGAGGCTACAGTGGGCTGCGTGGCCAAGTGGGCTGTGCCAGACGGCGCGTGTGACACACATCCCTGGCACGACAGTCTCAACTTCTAAAGCACACGACCCTGTCGGGCGCCTGTAGAAGAAGAGTACTCACCGTGGGTCTTCAAGTCAATGTCTTTAAATCTCAAATTTCTCACCTAGAAGTAGGGCTCGTAATGGCGGCCCCCTTGCCGAGCTGCTGTGCTGGTGAAATGTGACAGAGCCTGGCCTATGGCGGGCACACAGCTTCTGTGGTCGTCAGTGTGCATCTTGGTGTCACCACCACCGGAAGCATCGCCACCACCATCACAGGATGGGCAGCCCCTGCCGTGAGCCCGGCCATCGCCTTGTGCCGCTCTCCTCCCCCCACTTCCTCCCCCTCCTGAATCCCTTTCTCCTTCCCTTCCTGTCATCACACAGCTCCACCATCCTCACCGTCGCTGTCACCCAGAAGTCAGGCTTAAGGCCCCAGTGCCCCCACTGTGTGTGCCCACAGGTATCCCCGAAGCCCTGCAGGGCAGGAACTGGCTGGGCATGGCTTCTGGGATGTTCCGGCTGCCAAGGAACGGAGAGGCCCTTACAGTCCAGGCATGGTCGGTGCAGGCACTCGGCTCCTGGGAACCTGCAGGTGGGCTCCGATCTAGACTCCGTCACACACCAGCTGTGAGACCTGGGGCAAGCCAAGGGACCTCAAAGGCTGTTCCTTCTCAGAAAAACAGGAATAGAAGGCCCCCCCCACCTGCTGGGCTGTGAGGACTCAAAGCAAAGGGTGTTTACACCACAGTGAAGAGTGCCAGCTCCCACCTCGATACTGTTAGTCACAGTGCTAGTACTGTCAGCACGTGCACTGTTAGGGTTATTATTATAGAATATATCTGCTGGCTCCCTGTGGACCAAAGGGTCACCAAACACCACTGTCGGTGGCAATGGTAGTGATGGTGAATGTGGCGGATGCTGGCACTGGTGGCAACGGTGCTCGATGGTGCTGGTGATGCAGATGATAATGGTGGAGATGATGTTGATCATGGTGGTGACTATCATGGTGATAGGGAGGGTGGTGATGATGACGGAGGTGTGGTGATGTCCATGGTGGTGAGGGTGGAGGTGATATGGTGATGGCGGTGATGATGGTGGTGGTGGTGATGGTGATGGTGATGGTGGCGATGGTGGTGGTGGTGGTGATGATGGTGATGGTGGCGATGGTGGTGATGGTGGTGATCATGGTGGTGATGGTGATGGTGGTAATGATGGTGACGGTGGTGTTGATGGTGATGATGGTGGTGGTGGTGGTGATAGTGGTGGTGGTGACAGCGGAGATGATATTCATGGTGCTGAGGTAGCCATGGTGGCAGGGGTGGTGGTGGTGTGGTAACAGTGACGATGGCAGTGAAGCCTTGGTACATGCAGGTGTATCTGGGAAGCACTGAGTTGGCACTGTCCTCTCTCACATCTAAGCCTCCTCATGCTCTGTCCTGCCCCAGCTATCTTGCTGGGCCTCCAGCCTCAAATGTTTTCACTCGGCCAAGTCCTCACATGCTGACTCTGTGAAAAGGCACCATGTTAAGTGCTCTCTGCTGTATTTATTCAGCAGTGACTTCCGGAGTGGGAGGGAGGGTGATGTACTGTTTAAGCAGGGGCCTGAGTTCCCTGGGGGGTTCTCCGGTGGCTCCATCCCCGCTGCTGACTGGGTGGCACCTGGCTGGCTGGTGTGGGGCTGCTGCAGTCAGGAGGCCCTGATTTGTCTTCGTGCTGACTTTGCCTGATGTCAGAGCTCTGCCCCATCCCAGGAAAGGGAAAGCGGGCAAGACAACAGTGCCAAGCCCACCCCGTCCACCAAAACCCTGTCGCTTTGGCCTCCCAAGTGAGGGTCTGCTATGCCTGCCTTGTCCTGGCTGCTCCTCCCCTCTGGGAGTGGACACTTGACTTACTCAGGTGAGCAGCTGTTGGCCGCAATCCTCTGGGAAAACACCTCTGAGGGTCTAAAGCGTGTCTGCAATTACAAGTGTGGGCAGGCGTGATGCCTGTGGCCTGCCAGTCACTGCTCACTGAGCACTGGCCTCTTCACGTCAAGGGCCCTGAGATCTAAAATGCTCTTTAAAATAGAAATGTTAAACCATCTTTAAAACAAAAGACACTCTAATATGCTTCTCAAGTGCCCAAAACACACATGCGTGAGTGTGCACACACACGCATGCACACAAGCACACACACACACACGCACACACACAGGCCTGAGCTATCTTCTAAGAAGCCAAGAAGGAGATTGACAACCTCAGCTCTTCCCAGTTTTAAGAACGTCTCCATGCCTCAGTTTTCCCCAAAAGAAAGTACTGCCAGTGCCCTGTTCAGAACCATCCACAGAAGCAGAGATAAGCTCCCCTCCTTCAGGGGTAGAGTGGGGAGCGTGGGGGGAGGGGTGCATGATGTGGAAATCACACATCCGTGGGGACTTCGACTGGGAATCCATCAGGCTCTGACGCAAGGGCTCCGGGGTTCTGAGGATAAGGTCATCAAGGTAAATGGGCCTCATCTTTTGCCACTGATGAAACGCGTGTGGAAGGAAATATAAGGTATGGAGTCTGGGGTTCTAAGCCTGGCTCTTCTACTTCCTAGCTGTGTGACCTAGAACAGGTCACTTAGATACCCTGGGCCTCGGCTCCTCCATCTGTTAGGAGAAAGGAAGAATGACACTTGCCTACAAAATCACAAGGATAAAGGAGGCAAGGCTTGCTGTGCTTCACATGCAAAGTAGGGGCTCAATAAAAAGCTCACTTCTTTTTTTCTGCTAGGCAGATGGGCCGCTCCTACGAGGCCCACAAGCTTCTGCTCCATGAGGGCTGTGGGGATCAGGCACCATGAGCTTCCTAGATCCCTCAGAGAGGACAGCACCATTCCCTTCCAATGCTATCACTTTGGGGAAGAACCAGAAGTCGCATGGGGTCAGATCCGGTGAATGAGGGGGATGAGGAAATGGCATAATGTTTTTACTTATTTGACAGCAGTTGCCATAACTGAGGCAACAGGGGCCCGGAACAACACAGCGCAGGGCTGAGGCCTGCCCAGGGCTCTCCTCGTTTGGAGGTCAGAGCCAGCGTGGCCCTGCAAAGCCTGGGCCTTTGGCTGCAACCAGAGAAGACCGAGAGGCACCTGGTACAAAGTCAAACTCCAGTGCCTCTGCCCCAGCCCATCCCAGCCCAACGCCATGATACTATGTGTCAGAGGACAGTGGCCACTTCCTGCCTCCGAGGGAGATGGCTGTGGGTGTCAAATACCTGGGCACTGAGCCAGGCATGGTGGCACATGCCGATAATCCCAGCTGCTCTGGAGGCTGGGCCAGGAAGATTGCAAGTTCAAGGCCAGCTTTGGGAACTTAATTAAGACCCTATCTCAAAATAAAAAAGAGAAAGGCCTGGGGATGTGGCTCAGTGGTAAAGCACCCATGGGTTCCAATCCTATCTACTGCAGAAATGAAACAAAACATGAACAGGCTCAGGAGTGTCCCTTATGGTGTCTGGCACACAGTAGGGATTTTTTTTTAAGTTTTAGTTGTGAAGCCGAGTTATTTTCTCCCTGAAAAGCTTATTTACATTTTCTGAGAGTTGACATTACAGTATTTCATCCAATCTAAGACACCAGTTATAAGGTGCACCATTATTTTACTTCCAACTAAGAAAGAGAATCACTACCCCCAACAAGACTGAGAACGGAATAGAAACAGCCGACACAGGGCCAGGCCCCAAGGGCTGCACCACAGTCGATGGGAAGGAGGAACAAATGGCTTCCCAGAAAGGGGAGGCCGAGGTGGTCAATGTCCTGTCCCATCCGTGCAGCAGGGAGGGAGCCAGAGCTTTCCTGAGAATCTGAAATTCAGGCCAGAGCACCGCAGACTGGCGTCTAAGTTCCCACTGTCTACGTGGTGTGAAGAGAGGCAAACAGAACACAACTGGCCGCAGTGACTGCAGAAACCTGGGGCGAAGCCATCCCGATGCTGGGGACAAACGCTCCCCAGAAGAACTCGATTCTAACTAGACAGGAAACTGAAAGCCAGAGGCTTGCCACATTGGACCTGTGCTCAAGCTCAGGGAATGTGTTACACCTCGCGGCTCCGCCCCAGGTCCACCTGCACAGCGCAAATTGTGCCAGGCTGGGAGGTGGCCGCTGTCTGTGCTGGCCGCCATGCTGGTTTGCCCAGGTGACAGCGGCATGGGTCAGTCTGTCCCTGAGTCCATGTGTCTAGGGAAGGGTGCCACGCCCCAGGCCAAGGCAGGGCTCGAGTTAACTCCCAGCCTGGCTGCTGCATCTTGGACAGCAATGAAGCTGCCTGTGTGGGTGCTGGGTGGACATCCGGTGGCACGGAGGTGGTTAGCACGGGAGCAGCTGCAAACGTAATCAATCTTAATTAATCTGTTTACACAAACAACCAGGCTGCAGCCAATGACGTAGCTGAGCTGTCAATGACTTGGGGCTTGGAGAGAGGAAAAGTGGGGAGGGACCAACGGCTCGTAAATAACCTGCCTGGGGCTGGCCTTTTTCTTTGCTCTGTGCTAAAAATAATAAGCACAGTGTTTTTAAGTTGGCAAGATTACAACCTCTGCAGACAGCACTTATTTTCTACCTGTCAGAGGGCCTGAGTGTGCAGCGTGCGGACGTGCACTGGTGTAGTCACACACGCACCAGAACTAGCAAAAAGGGACCCGAGGACTGTGACAGCTTGGACCTACAGTGGCCTCCAAAAGCCCAGGCATCACAGCCTGGCCTGTGGAAGTGAGAGCAGGCCCAGTGAGTCGTGGATCAGAACCTCCAAAACTGATTCCCAACAAACCTCTCCTTATGAGCTGGTGATCTCAGCTTCTTTGTTGTAGCAACAGAAAGCTGATGAGCCCAGGCAAATCAGCAAAGAACAGCACAAGACAAACCAAGGACAGGATTCCTCCCTGAAGAGGGCCACTGCTCTCTGCTCTCAGGGGAGGCAGGGACAGCATGCACAGAGCTCTCGGTCTCCTGTGCAAAGCAGTTGAGAGCCTACTGTGCCACGTGCTACAGCCAGAGCTCTGCCTATTCCTGGCTCGATGGACTCCCATTTTGTGGAGTGGGACACTGCTTAGGGAACTCGCTAAAAGGCCTCACACACTCATGAGCAGGCTGGGTCCCAGTCCAGAATGTAAATCAATAGTTCTCAAAGTGTGGTCTCCGGGCTTCACCTGTTAACTCGTCAAAGAGGCAGATTCACGGACCACGCCAGGCCCAATGGATCAGAACCTCCAGGTGCGGGTCAGCAGTCTGGTTGCTGCCAACACCATGGCTTCTACATTGCTGCCTTCTGCACAGCAGGCTGAGGGGCCTTAGCTTAAAGCCAGCCGGCCCCAAATTGCTAACCACTTGATATAAATGTAGCCCGAAGAAGAAGACTTTGCAGCCACCTCCAGCCTTTCCTCTACATATCCCACAGGCAGGGCCCAGAGATGCTAGCCACAGGCCAGTTACGAGGCCCCCACCGTCCCCAAGATCCCAGAGCAGAGCCTCTCACTGTACTGCAGAGCAACACCAGCTGCATGCAGGGGCTCCCTGTGACCCATCTCTACCTGACCAGATGTGCAGTCTAGGGGGACAAGCTGCTGCTCTCTGCCCTGGGGCTGCATAGATGGGGCTGACAGCCAGGGAGGGGCTGGAGGTGCGGGAGCTGGAGGCAAACTGGACACCCAGTCCTGGGTCCCCCACTTCCTAGTGGGAGCCCCCGGTCTGTGGGCCACCTGCCTTTCCGGATGCTCTTCCCTATTGCAGGAGGAGGCTGCCGTCCTTCGAGAGGGGGAGCCAGAGTTTGAGCTACAGGAAGCTGCTCCTTCCTTAGAGAACAGCACAGTGATCTTCACGAGTTAAATAAAGCTCTGCTTTATCCGCGGGGACACTGAGCAACTTGCTCAAGGCCACAAAGCTGGGGCTCAGAACACAGCCCCGATCTCATGACAGCCCCTGGGTCCCCTGCAGATTCTAGACACGACACTGAAGCACCCAGGCAGGCCGCCAGGGTGCATCTTGCACAGAAAACACGGACTCAAAGAGAGAGAGCTGGTTCATGAGAGCTCCAGACCAGAGCATGCTGGGCCCGTGTCACCAGGGCCCACACGTGACAGGAGAGCGAGGGTGATCACTTAGGACAGTAGCTCCGGTGCCTTTTCCAAAAGTGGGGAGACGCTGCATGTGCAGGGAGGGCCTCCTCCAGACACAACGTGGAAGGTAAGATAAGGGGTCAGAGGCCAGAAGCTGCGGGGTTGCGGGGAGTCAGCTTAGTTTGCCAGCAGAGTCCTGGGCTAAGGTGGACATGTTAATGTCACTCCAGGACCAGGGGGAGCGGGGCAGGCACCGGAGTGGTGACAACATCGCTTCTTCCTGTGTCTGTTCTGCTGACGCAGCCACTGCCCCAGCTGCACACCACACAGGGCACAGTGCAGACCCTGGTCCACTGTGGCCCGCATCCTTCCCAGTGTGGCCCCTCGATCAGCGAAGTGTGGTCTCCTGCAGCCATCCAGCCCCCGGCAGGTCCAGATTTACATCTCAGTCACCAGCGGCACCCTCGTCTCTTCCCAGCACACTCTCAGAGCCAAGGGTCCCTTCTCCACCAGGTCCCTGTCATGCGGTGTACTCCGCACGCCTCCCTGCTCACCCCTCCAAACCTAGGCTTCCGACCCCCCACAAATGACCTCGGGGCCTCGTGGAACCTTCTGGAAAGCCTGGCGCTGACCACCAGCCCTCCCTCCAGGCTTGCTGCCCTCTAACTGTGCAAGCCGATGGCGACTCTTACCTTCTGGAATCCGCCCAGCTCCCCCGGAGAACTTGGTGACTGTTATTTTAGGGAAAGAGAGGGAAAAAATCAGTGAGGTGAGAGAAACGTAAATCCCAGCAGAGCCTTTAATGGAATATCCATTTTGTCAAGGGAGTGTTTCTCTAACATTTCTGGTCATCTGGACAGCCTGCGCCAGCGGGGTTTGGGTTTAACGAGCTTTTTAACACACTTCGGGACAGCTGGGAGTCTGGAAGGCCTGGCCCAGAGGACCCTGCCCGCTCGCTGGGGCTGTGCTGCCACCTAGTGGCCTACATGGCTACTCCACTTCAGGGCCAAAGGAGCCGGCAGCGCTGGGGCTGGGCTGGCACCTGGGGTACTGGGAAGCCGTGCCAGCTCCTTTGGACTGGGGACACTTAACCTCTGTACCTCAGTTTTCTCACTGGTTCATGGGAATACTGGCCATGTCCTTTGCCAGGTTGGCATGAGAACGCAGCACTTCATGAAGTTTATTGCTACTGGTGTGGCTGTTGGTATTATTTTGCGTGGTAGGCACAGGGTCTGAGAGAGGAACCTGGGTGCTCTGAGGCACACAGCAGGTCAGCAGGCCTGACTCCAGCTCTGCTGTTGACTAGTGGCATGAACTTGGGTGGTGTTTCACCTTCTCAAAGCCTGCTCTGGAGACAGGGATGCAGTTCCTCTGGCAGAGGGGTCCCAAGGCACTGAAACGATCACATAGTGAGCCCAGCGTGGCACAGAGCAGGTGCCCCCTGCAAGCTTACCATGAGGCCACTGTGTGTGTCACAGGGACTCTGGCCTCACCAGGAGGCAGTCGAGTGCCAGGACCTGACCTCCCCCAACGGGGTGGTCCCTCAGCCTGACATGCGGGTGCCCAGGACCAAGCACCACAGGCTGAGCTGTGCCCCTGCCATGAGTAAGGCCCAGCCCCTGTCCTTCCCAGGGCTCAGTGCTCACCAGCAGGCGGCCAGCGTCCTTGAGCCTGGATTTGTACAGCATCCAGCGGTAGCGCAGGTCTTCCAGCTCCTCTGGGGCTGCCCTCGCAGGCCCGAGATGAAGGAGGTTCTCGAAGAGCTGCTGGCCTTCTGGGACTCGTGCCTGCAGCTCCTGGGGGAGGCGCAGGGTCATGGTGCAGCTCAGGTGGCTCAGGCCATCTCAGCAGGCTGGCAGGATGCCATTCGGGTGCCACTTGGCAGAGAGACTCAGGGATGGGCACACGGACTGGGGGGCCCTCATCTGTGCCAGTGCCACTCTCCAGACAATCACAGAGTGGCCCCCACAACAATGGGCCAGCTACACTGTGGACCCTGTGGTCACTCTGACATCCGGGACCACATCCTCCCTGTGGTGGACCCTAAGGGTCACCGCCATTATAAAGGTGATCACAGGGGAATGTGCCTTTCTGTTGGCCTTGCCTGGTCTGGCTGAGGGGCGCTGGATGAGGCACATGTTTCTCGCAGTACAGTACCATGCTCGCCTTCGTCTCAGAACTCCTGGAGGTGGTGTGATGGGCAGGCGAGGGCTCCACACCAGCAGTCTGGCTTTGTGCCCTGACTGTGTCCCCTAGCTGTGCCCCAGACCGGAGCTGCACAGTATGGGACACTGTGCTTAGCTGCTCAGTGACTGCCAGAATGAGAACTGGGCAAGAGCAGAGATTATAGGGACCAAATCACTCACAGAGGACAAATCATTAACAACAGTTTAAAGCTGTAAAGGGATTAATGCAGGTGAGGCCCATCAGCTTGAACCTTGGAAAGGGAGGCTGGATGTCCGGCCATGGGTAAAGCACTGGCCTAGCATGCACAGGCCCTGGGCTCCATCCCCAACACCCCCAAACCAAAGCCAAACAACAACATCAGCTAAAACTTTGGGAAAAGATGGGGATCCTGAGGAGGGAACCCTGAGTTCCAGACTGCTTTTGGCTCTGGACAATTTGGAAGAAATAGCTGTGAAGCGGGGGAGGGAAACAAAAGTCAGAGTCTGGGCTCTGCTAAGCCTCTCCTCCATTAGCTGAGAGCCCACAGGCTTCATCCTTGGAGTGAGGTGAACCAGAAGTCACATGGGCTTGTGTGGAACTGCAGCCCAGCTCCAAGTCATCTCAGTGGTCCAGGGAGCTGCAGGCTTTGTTCTTGGTTCAATGGTCCCAGAATAATAAAACCCCACTTTTCAGCAGTAGCTAACAAAATCCCTTCTGAAAAAAAGAGATTATCCTGAATCCCTGACTACTCTTACACATGTTTTGTCAAACACAGTGTCCAGCACACAATCAGAATAGCCACATATAGACACAAGACACCAAGAACAAGAAGAAGAAATAAAACCCAACAGAAACCTTCCGGAAATGCCCTGAATAAGAGATAACCAGAATTATGAGACAACTATGAAGCAGCTATGTTCACTGGCTTCAGAGGATTAAAGACAAGCTTAAACATCTCAGCAAGGACCGGTGAGCTAGAAAAGTGACCAAGAAAATTGTTAAAAGAGCTAAATAGAAATTCTAAAATTGATCATTACAATGACAAACATTAAGAACTCAACAGACACATGCAATAGCAAGTGAGACACAGTTAAAGAGAGAATTAGTGAGCTGGAAGAATGATCCGAAAAAAATAAATACTCCGAATGCAACATGACAAGAACCACAGGATCCAAAACACACAAGAGAGGCAAAGCATCATAAAGCTCGCTGTGAGAAGGAATAATTATATTAAATGACATTAGAGAAACAGAGAAGGTAACAAGGCAGAGGCAGTTTGATATAATGTCATAACATTTTCCAGAAATACCCTAGACTAGGAATTCAGAGATTCAAATGAATCCCAAGCAATAAACAAAAATCAGTCCAGACCCTAATATATCCTAGCGAATTTCATAAAAATAAGGAAAAGGAGAGGTAGGCTGGGGCCTGGTTGGAAAAGGTCTTACATGATAAACCTGGGGTTCAAACTTGGTACTGAAAAGCTCCCATTGGAACAACAAGGGCACATCTGTGCTTTTGAGTGAACCACATGTGGCTGTAGAAGGAGCCGTGATCCAGGAGGGGGTCCCACAGAAAGAAGAGAGGCCATGGCCCGAATCAAGGCAAAATGCAGCCCAGGCCTTGCTGAAGACCAGGTAGCGAGAGGGCAGAAAGAAAAAGTATCAGAAAAGTGGCATCACAGAGGGTGTGGGGTGTGATGCTTTGGTTGCTGTCCCTCCCAAACTCAGGTTGAAATCTAACTGCTGATGTAGCAGGTGGAAGGTGGATCTTTGAGGGGTGACTGGGCCAGGAGGGGTCCATGCTGCCATCAGAGGTCAAGGTAGCTCCTCCAGCCTTCTGTCCTTTCTGCCTTTTGCCATGTGATGCGCTCCTGCAAGAGCCTGGTGCCTTGGTTTCAGATTTCTCAGTCTTTGAACTGTAAGCCAACAAACCCTTGCTCACTAGACATAGCCCGGTCTCCTGTGGCAGCACAAATGGACTGTGGGTAACCAGGTGCAGGAGAGGAGGAGGAGGAGTCAGGGCAGACTGTGGGCAGAAATGGCCCTGGCTTGCCTGCCCTCTCACCAGCCATAACCTTGCCCTTTGCCCCATGATCTTGCTGTCCCTCCTACCAAGCAGAGAGCCTGTCTTTCTTCTCCTTGAGTCTGGGCTGACCTTGTGACTCTCTGTCCAAGAATGAAGGGGAGTTAATGAGACCAGGTTCAAGTCTAGGTCTACAAGGGCCTTGCCTGCCTCTGCTGTGTCCCACAGGAGGAGAGAGGGAGCCCGGCAGATGTGTCTTGGCCCTTTGAACTGGTGGAAGTCAGGCCGAGTTTAGCCAAAACTGCCAAGAATCAGAATTACAAGTTAAATAAACAGCTGTTGCTTTCAGTCACAAGCTATGAGCTGGCTGCTTTGTTGCACGGCAATAGCTGACAGATAGGAGTCAAAGGGTTAGTGGTGATGTTTTCTGAGTGGAAAATACAGACAGCGGCTGAATGGATGAATGCAAGAAAAAAGTTCTAAAGTATCTGAAGCAAAGAACATTTAAAAATCATTATTCATACACAAGCGAGAATGGCTCTCAAATGATTATATGTATGATCATTTGTTTGAGGAACTTTCTGGAGGAGCTGGGCATGGTGGTACAGGCCTGAAATCACAGCACTCTAGGAGGCTGAGGCCTAAAGATCTTGAGTGTAAATCCAGCTTGGGAAACTTAGCAGAACGCTGCCTCAAAATTAAAAAAATAAAAACAATAAAGGGCTAGGGGTGTAGCTCAGTGCAAAGGCCCTGGGTTCAATCTCCAATAAACCACCAAAGGACTCCCTGGTGGCAAGCACATCTATGTCGGGCGCAAACCCCAGGGTAACAAACCTGCAGCTTTGCTTCTCTGGTTCTCGTGTCCTTGGCCGAGGTGGCTCTCATCGCAATGCTTCTAACCAGCTTGGAATTTTCTACCTGCAGCCACCGTTCAAAATTCCTCAGGAGCTGGGAGAAATCTTCAGCGCCGCCTTCACCTTCCTCGAGTGGATTTGCCTGCAGGGATCACATGACCAAAGTGACAGAGGCATGGCCCATTGGTCCTGGGTTCTGGGGAGGCCACTGAGGCAGAGGGGAGGGATGAGGACAGGACGTCCAAGGGCGTGGGAGAGGCTGGGGTGAAGAACGGAGTGAGGACCAGGAGCATCCCCGCCATCACCTTCCTGGTTCCCGAGTGACGTCACCATCCTTTCCAGGAGGGCTGTCTGTGACCACCCTTCCACTGGCCTTCCCCCTGGGCTGCAGTTCTTTCTGCTGGCCTCCCTTTCCCTGAGCCGGAGCCTACAGACCCTAGAACTTGTGCTCCCTCCCTCTGGGTCCTTACACACCGTCCGCTCTGCCTGGCCTGACTTTGCTCCACTCTCCTCCTGCACTCTCGCAGACCCTTGCAGGCCCAGCTGACCTTTCATTGCTCCCAAAGGGCTTCCCTGCCCCGGAGCTGGGTCTCAATCACTCTGCCACAAGCTCTCCTCAGAGTGGGCCCCAAAGCCAGCAGCCCAGGCGTTCCTTGCAAGCTGTGTGCAATGTGGAACCTCCACTGGAATCAGCTGCAGTCTGAAAAGCTGTCTAAGGTCAGCATGTCATTCAGAGGTATCCAGCCTCAAGCCCTGGCTAGGAACACAGTCACATTCAGAACTGGTGCTGTGGATGCAATTCTGCATTCAAATGCAGAGGGAATGAAGGAGTGGGAGAATAATTAATTCCATTTTCTTTTCTTTTCTTTTCAGACAGTGTCTTGCTCTGTTGCCCAGGTTGACCTTGAAATTCTGGGCTCAAGCAATCCTCCTGCTTCAGCCTCCCAAACAGCTAGGGACTATACGCATGTGCTTTATGCCCAAATGGAAAGGTTTTAAGTAATAATCCTCTTTTCAGCATGGCTCAACTTTTTAAAGGCAGCAAGGAAAAGTGAAGAATGATACCATAAAGTTTCCACACCTCTACGTCACAAAAACATGCCCTCCTATAAGATCTTAGTTTGCAATCGGAGCTCAGTGGGAAGTTTTCCAGTTGCCTTTCCTCCTGTGAGGGGGCTGCTAGAGCTGCAGAGAGGTGAGGACCAGCACAGTGGCCTTCAGAGGTGCCCGAGATCCACCCAGTGGCCTGGCCCTGCAGTCTGGGACCCCTGAGGCCTTCTCTGTGGTGCACAGTGCTCCTGGGCCACCAGGAGCAAATGAGACAGGAGCCGCCCATGGCCCCGGGTCTGAGCGTGCGGCCCAGGCAGGGGGGAGGCCATGTGGAGATGCTCAGATCTGAACCCTATCCGGAAGCCCCATAGCCAGACTCACCCTGTGCCACCGTGGCCTGGGGATAGGGTCCAAGGGGTTGATGAGGAAGCCCGACTTTGGGATGTTGTTGGTGAAAACCAGCTTCTTCCCTGAGTCCGCCTCTGTGTTCTGCAGCTTACTGTTTCTGATGAGGCTGGGAAGACAAAGTGCACCCACTCAAGGTGGGGACGCCACAGGGACCCACAGGGTCACGGGAGAAGTTACAGCATTGGGACCGCAAGGCGGCAGCAGATTTCTGGGTCTCGCTGCCCAACAGTGAGTCAGCAGCTGCCCTTCAGGCTCCACGCCACACCCAGGTCCTGTTTTCTCCTCTAAACCTCTACTGCCCTGCATGAAGGTTCAGATAAAGAAACTGAGGCTCCAGCTGGGATGGCTGGCGGCCACCTCCCCCGTTGAGGTCCCTTCCCAGCTCGTCCTGCCCCAGCTGGAATCGCCAGCTGGACCCAAGTGTGGAGATGCGCATGGGCACCTGGCACTGCACCTGGCCTGGCCGTCAGCTCTGAGGACACCTGGAGGCACCCTGAGAGCCCCTCACCTCAACACATTCTCCTCCAGCAGCCGCAGGGCCTGCCAGGACTCCACCAGCTCCCTCAGCTCCTTCTGGACCACGGCCGCGCCCTCCGGAGAAGACTTTTCCATCACCAGCTGGCTGTGCGCCTCCACCAGGGCCAGGCAGACCTCCTTCTCGGGGAGCTCAGCCACCAGCATCTGAGGAACACAGGTGTGCAGACACAGAGTGAGGCCTCGGGCTTGGAGTGTCTGCTTTCCCACGTGGGAGCTTTGGCCGGAGACGCTGCCTTGGGAGGATGCGGGGAAGGACGTCACCGTCTCACCTCGACCGCAGCCTCTCGGGACTTGGTATTCCATGGGCCCGCGTCCCCTCGGTGTGACTCCAGCATCCGTGTGGCCCTGGTGATCCACTGCTGCAGCTCCAGCAGCCGGCAGCTGAAGGTGCAATGCTCCTGCACGCCCTGCTGACACCTGTCCACGAGGTCCTGTGGATGCCCCAAGGGCCGGGGCCCTGAGCAGCGGTCCTGCAGAGACCCCAGGCACCGCACCAGCCCTGCAGGACGCCCAGACTGCCTGACCCCAGGCCCCCACACAGCACCAGGCCACAGGCTGGTGTCCAGCACAAGGCTTCACCCAGGAGGCCACCTCTGGCTTAAATGCCACACCACCAAGGCAGGCGAGGGTGGCAGTCGTGGCTCGCAACCACGCCTGGTGCAGTATTTGCTTGGGCAAACCATTAGCGGCATCTGGTAAATGTGAACAAAGGTAAACCTTCTGAGCCAGTGCCTTATGGGTGCAATGCATGGTGTTGCCCGCCATGGCTCCAAGACACCAAGTGTCCACTGATTCTACACTGGGGGGTGCCATGCTCCTTGGGGGCCAGTCTGCTGCCACATGTGGCGTGGTGGATGAACTTATAACCATTCGGGGAGGGTAGAATCTAAAGACACTCAAGACAGCCTCCTGTCCTATTCCATGTGCAAATGCTTTCGATGCTGGTTTAAATCCGAGGTCAGCGTCACCCTGGCAGTGACCGGTGGCTGGTATGGCTCTGTGTCTCTTCTGGGCACTGCAAACATGGATCCATTTAACTTTCTAAGTTCCACTGAACTGCACAGGCAGATCTTTACTTTTCTGTACAGGGTTACACTTCAATAAGAAGCTTCCCAAACTGGCCTTGCTTTCTGACTCCCTCCCTGGTTCTTACCTATGCCTGCTGCTGCGTAGCACTGGGGCCTGGGCCTCGTTCTTCTGTCTCCAGGAAGGTGGCCACTGCCCACCCTCCTGGTCACCCTGCCAGGGAGCCTCTGGACTCCGGAACCGCTGTCCCCGTTCCTGGCTCAGAGCCTCATTGTACTCTGCTGACCACCAAAGGCCCTGCCCTCCCTCATCCCACAAATACTGGGAGTCGGGAACCCCAGACCAGGAAGGCACACTCGGCGCCCCTGGGTCTGCAAAACGCACTGCATCTGTCCTCCACTGACCACCAAACACTGCCTAAACCCACGCCACTAGTGCTCACTCTCTCTGTCCTTTCCCACCCCTGCTACCCACGTCACCCCGAGGCCTTAGGTGGCTCCCGCTGTGCAGAGCTCTGGCCTGGACAGGACATGGCTGTGGCGGAAGGGCCCTTCAGACTCGCTTTAGCAATGAGAGGGGCATTTTCTCTTTAAAGAAGGATGAGATTTAGCCTCACAGTCAGGCACAAAGTCCTGATCCCCTATACCAAAAACTAAAGAAGGATGAAAACCATAAATAAAGAGGACGAATTGGAATGTCACCATCGCAACCCCTGATGGCCCCCACTAGCACTGTTCCTATGGGATCTGACTAGGTGCTCGGGGTCCCTGAAGGCTGGGGGCTGCTTCCAATCTTTCCACCCCACCCCAAACCCTGAGGCCAGCAGCTGCTCTTCTGCTCAGCAGAATCAGTGACTCTGTGCAGGCCCTGTGTGTCCCTGAGCTCCACAGGTGGGGCTGCTTCTGGAGACCAGTGTGAGTGTGAGTGTGTGTGTGTGTGTGTGTGTGTGTGCATGGCGGGGGCTGGCTGCTGGGAGAGGACATGGGGAGCAACGGCACCCCTCTGCTCCAAGGAGGGGCAGTCGGGTGGTGCAGAGCTGTCCCATGACCCCAGACCTCGTGTGGGGAGCAGACAAACCAGAAGCTGCCTCCCCACAGGTGCGGCCACCAGGAAGGCCCACGCAGGCTGTGCTTTGGCTCTGTCTCATTTCTGAAGTCTGCTTCCCAAATGGCTATGCCATGGGGTGCAGTATCTGTGCCGTGGCAAGCAGGGAGCACTTCCCCCTACACACACCCAAGACAGAGTCTCACTGTGGAACAAAGCAATCCTCCTGACTCAGCCTTCAGAGTGCTGGGGGAATTTTCTGACTACTTCCTAATATCTTGAGCACCTCTGTATGGAAGAACACCGATTACATTTACTTTCTAAAAGCTCTCTTTTCCACTCTGAGCATTTCTAAATTGTCTGAGAAATGAAATTATATGATCTGTGGGTTTCGGGGTTACAAAGAGGTGCTGGGAATGTTTGTTGCTAAAGCAGGGCAGCACAGGGTTTCCCTGAGGTGTGGCTGCCAGAGCCTAGAAGGCCGACCCAGGTCTCCGTCCAATTCAGGGCCTGAGTCGGGCCTGGGGTCTGCATTTCAAAGGTCTCCTGCCAATTTTCAAGCCTAGGTTTCCATTCTACCGGAAGTTCAATCAACCCTGCATGAGCACAGCACAGAAAGTGCTCAGGTGGCCACTAGAGGGCGCTGCGGGCGAGGCTTTTCGGTTGCAGAGTGCTCTGGGATCAATTGCTGAAGGCCCTGGTACCGACTGCACAAGCACTGAGGCAGCCTTCTGTGTAGCTCCACGTGGCGGCCCTTATCACAGTGTGGAACTGCGGGTTCTCGTGCTCACTCTGTCCATGTTCTGACCTTCATGTTATCTCCACCCTCAGCGCCCAGCACTGGAGGTGCTTACTAATCATGTGTTACATAAATGAGGGGAAGGAAGGAAGGGAGGAAAAGAAATAAAGGGGTCAGAAAGAATGAAAAAAGGTGGGCATGATGATGCCCACCTGTAATCCTAGCGCTTGGGAGGCTGAGGCAGGAGGATCACCATGAGTCCCAACCATCCTGGGGTGCATACTGAGATCCTGTCTCAACCATCCCCCCACACACACAAAGGAATGAAGGAGAGGGAGAAAGTGTCGGAGCAGAGCTGGTCCATTTTGGGCTGGTGGCTGGAATCCCCCTGGACAAGAGGCCTCATGGCCTCTATTTGCATGTCCAGCTCCAGCCCTTCTTCCTGCAGGCCCTGTGGTAAGAGAGGAAGAGAGCACTGTCCCTGCCTGCCCTTCGCCACAAGTTCAAGGCCAACCTTGGCTATATAGTGAATTTAAAGCCAGGCTGAACCGCATAGAGACCCATTTCAAAAAACAAAAATAAGTTCTTCATCCAGCTAACACTTAACACTGATCAGCCCGCTCATAGTCCGTGGGTTATTTAAACATACATGATTTGGCTATATAGTGAATTTAAAGCCAGGCTGAACCGCATAGAGACCCATTTCAAAAAACAAAAATGTTATTCATCCAGCTAACATTTAACACTGATCAGCCCGTTCATAGTCCGTGGGTTATTTAAACATACATGAACACTAATGGCAAATAAACCTATGAAAAATGTCCAACATCACTGGCCATCCAAGAGATGCAGATGAAAACAACACTGAGATTCCACCTCACCCCAGAGAGAATGGCTGCTACCAAGAAATCAATAACAAATGCTGGTGGGGCTGTGGGGAGAAAGGAACCCTTCTTCACTGTTGGTGGGAGTGCAGACGGGTGCAACCACTGTGGGAATCAGTGTGGAGGCTTCTCAAGAAACTAAAACTAGAGGTTCCATTTGACCCAGCTATATCTCTTCTTGGTGTCTTCCCGAAAGAATGAAAAGCATCCTACCACAGATATATACACATCCATGTTTATAGCAGCACAGTTTGTAATAGCTAAATCTTGGAAACAGCCCAAAATCCTGTCAACTGATGAGTGGATAAAGAAGATGTGGGGTTTTTAAAATATAATGGAGTACATAAAGAAGGATGAGCATCAGACATTTATAGATAAATGGATGAACCTAGGACCCATACTCTTAAGTAAAATAAACTGGACGCACATGTTTAAATACTGTATTGTTTCTCTGGTGCGAGAAACTGAATGTGGAAATGAGGACTGAAATAATGGAAGAAAGTGTTCAACTGGGAAGGGGAACAAGGGAGGAGGGAGGGAGCAAGGACGGAAGGGACAAGAGAAAAAGTGAAAATAGAAGCAAAAAGGGAAAACAAAGCTTCTGTATATAAGAAAGGGAGGGACTTGAGGAGGGAATGAGATAAAATAAAATTCATTTAAAATGTATTCTCACTCTCAGAAGTGGCTTATTCAACTAAAGTCTTCTAAACTCTTGGGAACAATGAGCAAAGTAATTTTAAAAATAAATACTAATGGCAGACTTTGGAACTGAGGGGAAATAAAAAGGCTTGCTTATTATTTTGCTAGGATCAAGAATCAGAGGTTTGGTTCATTCATTTTGTATCATTAATATGTGCCCATAATTGTAGCAATAGTAATAAAAAAGAATCAGCAGTTTGGGGCGTTAAAGGCTCTGCTGAGGTTGGGGACCTCCAGATAAACAAGCAGGGATTCCCAGAGATAATTCGGCTCTCAACGGAGGAGCTAAACCTCGGCTGGAACTGGCCGCTGCCTTCCAGGTACAACTGGGTCCCTGCACGAGCCTCGCCGGAAGACCTCTCCTTACCTGCAGTCGCAGGAGCTGGGCCTTCTTCCCCGGAAGGTCCCGCTGAAGCCCTTTCTCAGCTTGGACCCTGGCCCGGAGATCCAGCAACTTCTTCTGCAGGGGCTCGAAAGCAGCCCCAAAGTCTTTGTGCTGAGCAAGAGAACTCTAAAGAGAGAACAGGCAGTGCGCATTCAGAGCGTCCCTCCTGGCGCCTCGAAGGCCTGAAGCTTGATCAGGCTGTGTTGTCCTGGCCAGCTTGCACACTAGGGCCACCTCCTCCAGGAAGCCTGCCCTGGGCCCTGGTGCCTGTCCTTGGGTTCATGACTAACACTTTGGCCGCGCCATGTTAGAACTGGCAGAAGTACCCCCCACCCCCCGCGCCCCCCAGTGGCCGGTTTGTGTGAATAAAGTTTTATTGGAACACGGCCATGCCCATTCATTTCCGGTTTCCCCACTATAGCAGCAGAGTGAGCTGGGGTGCAGAGCCTCCCTAACACTGACGATGCCAAACAGGTCTGCAGGAGCTCCTGTGTGGGACCCTCACCTGTAGCTTGCTTTTCCTCTGCAGTAGGGCGCTGTGTAGCAGGTCTCTGTCCCGCAGGAAGCTCTCCACCTGCTCCAGGAGGCCCGAGGCTCTCTCCTGGCCAAAGACGCTGCTCAGCAGATCCCTCTTCAGCGGCAGTGACCCCAGCTGCTCCTTCAGGCGGGAGCTTTCTGCCAGGGCGGCCTGCGGGTGATAAGGCCGCCATGAACCATGGAGCAGGACCCTGAGTTTCACGGTCCACTTCCACCCCCCACAGTCCATCTTGTTCCCAAAGCCGGAGAGGAGTAGGAAATCCACCTCCTCCCAACCCTGCCAGGATGGTACCGGCCCGGGAGCACAATGGAGGGGGGGATTTAGGAAGGTTTCCCGGAGGAGGGGATTCTGCTTAGGAGGCAAAGTGGGGACCTGTAGGGACTCAGAAGCCACCTTGGGTCACACAGCAGCCTCCATGAGGCCTGAACTTGCTTAGCCCAGCTCCTCCTCCTCTGGGAAGTGGCCCTGCCCACCCTGAAGCCCCTCAACCCCTCAGCCTCTCCAGCTGTTCTAGCTGAAATCCTTTTGCTTTTCTAACAGATGGAGACCTGGCACTGCACCTGTCCACACTGAAGACCCTGAGCAGGGTACAGGGCCAGGAGCAGGACAAAGAGCCCAGGCAGGCAGGTGGCTGCAGTCCCGGTTTCAAAGCAAGTCCTGACCAGTGTCAGGGCTGGGTTCAAAGCAAAGCCTGGAGATATCAGAGAGGGGTGGCACCGAGCATAGCTCTCTGAGGGCAGGGGTTTCTCAAAGGTCACTGTCCTGCACACGGCTGATTCAGCTGCACAGTCTCCTGACAGTGAGGACGCCGGGCCTGGGCTGAGCCACGAGAGTCACCTTGCCCTTCTGGGGAGCCATGTCCCTCCCCTGGCCCTCAGGCCTGGTGCTGGGTCACAGGAAGTAAGAACTCGAACTAGGGAGTCGTGATGGATGCTAGGTTCATGGGGAGGCTCTGGGCTGCGGTGAGCCTGTTTCCTCTTCTGTAAGACAGGCGCGGCTGCTGGAACTGTTATGGGATTTCACACTGAACATGGTGCCTGATGTCCAGCACACACACATGAGGGACCACTTCTCAGCCATGAGGGCCTGAGCTGAGTCTCCCAAAAAAGATAGGGCAATATCTTAACTCCCACCATTACCTCAGGATGTGCTCTTTGAAAACAGGTTCTGCACAGATTCAAGCTAAAATAAGACCACCGGGGTGGTTCTCATCCAGCACAACCAGTGTCCCAAGCAGAGGGAAGTTCTGTTTTTGTTTTCTTTGTTTTGAGACAAGGTCTTGCTATGTAGTTCAGACTGGCCTTGAAATTACTATATAGTCCAGTCTCGCCTTGAACTTGCAGTGATCCTCCTGCTGGGATCACAGCCGTGTGCAACTGTACCCGGCAGAGAGGGCGATTCTGAACACAGACATTTCCAGGAAGAGGATGACACCAGGACACTGGGGGAGGCAGCCTCGGGATACAGAGGCAGATCCAGGGGGACGACGCTGGGACAAGTCCACTGCCACAGGATGCCCAGGATGGCTGGCAAAGCCCAGGAGCTATGAGAGGCAGGGCCAGGCTCCCCTCCAGCCTCAGGGGACCCAGGCCCTGCAACACCTTGGTCTTGGAATCCTGGGTCCCAGACCCATGAGACATAAACTGCTGTTTTAAGCCAACCAGGGTTTGGTGCTTTGTTTCAGCAGCCAAGTCCACCTTTGGGGCTCAGTGCTTTGGTTCTGGGGGAGCCTGGCTGATCCACAGAACACACTGAGGCTGGCACAGGAGCTGATCCAAAGAAAGCTAGAACCAGGAGGGCCTGGTAGTGCATGCCTGCAATCCCAGCACTCTAGGAGGCTGAGGCAGGAGGGTTGGGAGTTGGAGGTCAGCCTGGGCAACTTAGCAACTTAGTGAAAGCAAAATTTAAAAAAGAGCCTGAGGGCCAGGGATTTAGCTCAGTGCTTCCAGTGTCTGCCCCTCAAGCACAAGGACCTGAGTTTGATCCCCGGTACCAAAAAAAAAAAAAAAGAAAAAAAAAAAAAAAAAAGAAAAAAAAAAAAAAAAAAGAAAAAAAAAAAAAAAAAAGAAAGAAAGAAAGAAAAAGAGCCTCGGCTGTCATTGATTGCAAAAGCCTGCGTTCAGTCCTCTCAGAGCTGGCAATTTGAACCCCAGCCTACAAAATCCAGGCAGGCAGGCAGGGGAGGGTGGCGCAAGACAGGCTTGCAAATAGCAGGGAGTATCCAATCACAGGCGAACTCAAGTCCCAGCCCCACCTGCTCCTGCCTGCAGCTCTCGGCCCTGGGCCACACTCTAGAAAGACACGGCTTCCCCTCTGGCCTCACTAGGTCCTGGTTTGCCATCTCACTGGCGAGAACAAGATGAAAACAGCACAGCGACAGAGTAGGGAAAGTCCTTGCGGGGAGGTCAGGCAGGGCTGAGCCCTGAGAAGGACGAGGTTCCCGCAACAGCCCAGTGACAACAAAGCAGCCAGTTGTTCCACCTCACAAAGCTGCTTCTAGACCCCAGGGTGGAGGCGGGCGTGGGAACTTCAGACAGGGATCTGCCACCCGCAGTTCAGCCTGTGCAGCCTCTCCCCGAAAAATGACCTTGGACAAGGTCTCACCGGCTCCCATTAGTCCCTCCTGTGCCAGTGAGGGTTGTGGTAGACGTGGAACCCAAAACTTTTAAACCTGGGTATCTGCTGCATCTCAGTTATGACAGCGAAAACCTGGAAAGAACCAGCGTCTGTGCTAAATTACACAGAATGGAAAATGACACAGCTGCTAAAAATGATCACTTTCGTTTCAAATGCTCCCCGAGAAAAAGGCCAAAGGTGTGGGATGGAAATATCACCTACAACTGTATGACATAACTCTAAACACACAGAAATTGCCAGGGATTAAATCTCCTGTCTCTTGGTGATCATGTCTCACGGAAACATCTAGCTGGATTTCATCAGATACAAAGGACAGATTTAGGGTACTGTGACTTAAAGCTGAGGTTTGTGGCACTCATAAAATTCACCTTGGGGCATGTTGAGATGACTATCACCTTTGGAACCTGGGGAAGGAAGAAGAGGCCCACTGGCCCCTTGGAAGAAGGGTCATGCTCTGCATCTCAAAACAATGGAGAGAGAAAGCCAGGCTTGGGGGCGCACCTCTGTAGTCCTAGCCCTCAGGAGGCTGAGGCAGGAGGTTTTCCACAAGTTCAAGGCTAGCTTGGGCTACATAGTAAGTTCAAGACCAGGCTGAGACGGGCATGGTGGCTCATGCCTGTAATCCCAACACTTGGGAGGCTGAGGCAGGAGGGTCGCTGTGAGTTCGAGACCAGCCTGGGCTACATAGTGAGTTCCCAGTCAGTCTCAACTACATAGTGAGACCCTGTCTCAAAAGACCAGGCTGAAAACAAAAAACAAACAAACAAACAAAAAAAAAAAACAGGCTGAATCTCATAGCAAAACCCTGTCTCAAACAAAACAAAGCACCAGTGAGAGAGAAATTCTTCTTTCAGCATGAGTCCCAGATAAAAAATCACAAGGTTAAATGCTCTAGAATGCAGGCCTTGGGTTGTGGCCAAGCAGTGTCTTCAAAGATGGGTGGGTGCCAATCCCAGCTAATGATTTTCCCAGTAATACCGGGTTGGACAGAAGTATCCCAACATATTAACAGCAGTCCTATGGCTTATGTTTTCTTCTTCAGAAATCTTTATATTCCCCAAGTATGGGTGCCTTTTCTAACCAGGATGAAAATCAGAATAAAATGGGGGTGGTACCAGGCACATTTTGGTGTCTCTTCTCCCTCTAAGAATGTCTGGATGCAAAAAACACTTTGGGGACTTCAGAGCTCAGTGACAATAAGGCAGTGTTTAAGGCCAATGGGGCCTTTGTGTAGCCAGGCATTGAGGGAGGCACTGCCAGCTGCTCGCCCCACAGCCATCCTTCCTGCTCCCTCAGCAAACAAGCAGCATCTTTTTGGGAAGCAGGGTACCCAGCTAGGGATCCAGGATTATAGCATCTTTGGTACCAATAGGTCATAGCTATCCCATCATCCTCAGCCAGGGATTGGCCAGGGGTGGTCATGTGGCCTTGTGCAGCCAATGAGATGTAAGGGCTGTGTGCTGGGGCTTCTGGGAAGGCTCTACCTCCCTGTCACAGTGGATGTGGTGGATAGAGGGCGACCTTCCGCCCCCACACATCAGATGTTGTTGCTAATGGAAAGATGCAGGTGTGGAGTGGCAGCAGCCACCCTCATGCTAGAAAGAAACACGGCTTTGCACTAAAAAGAGCCTGGCTCCAGGTGACACTGTCTAGTTAAAAGTCAGCCCAAACATCTCTGTTTTGCTACCACATGTCAGGTTTTTTGTCACTTGTAGCCACAGCATAGGAAATGGTTTGAAACAGAACTGCTAGTGCTGTTCCAGAGGACGGCCAGTATTGGGGTGCCAAAGTGGGTCGTGGACACTTCCGGCTGGGAGCAGAGTCCTGGGGTCACACCATGCTTCCCTTCTGCCCTAGAACTGAGGTGACCTTTGTCACTGATGACAAGGGATAACACTTGCTGTGCACTCATGACCCACCCTCAGGGAGCAGTGAGCTCATCCCAGATATTGGAGGGCCCAGGAACACGCCATCCTAGGAGAGGGGCTGACACGCCATGCATCAGCCAGCACCTCCCCCACAGCGCATGAGGCAGCCGCGATGGCCGGAGCAGGGTTACCTTGATCTGGGGCAGGAAGGTGTGGATGGAAGGCAGGTCTGGCAGGCTGGCGGTGACATCCAGGAGCCGCTGGGCCAGGGCCCGCCACAGCTGCAGATCATGGAGGGGTCGCTGGAAACACTGCCACAGGGCTATCCTGGTGGCATTGCACTGCCTGGTGCTCTTCCCCTTCATGCTGCAAGGACCGCAGGGCACAGAAGAGAGAGGAGGGGGTCAGAGCAGTTGGGGGGGGGCAGGGCATAGGTGGGAGGGGCCTGGGTGCATTGAGGCGGACAGGCCTTTGCCACTTGCCTGGGGCTTCCTGAGGACCGACCCCAGGCTCCCTGGATGCCTGGGTTTGTGTGTGAGAGTGAGACATGTGGGCAGGTAAAAGTCAGGCAGACCAGCCGTGTGACCCTCAGTCATTTCCTCACCTGGGAAGTGGGAATGTGGGGCCCATCCCGTACAGCACTACGCGAGGCTTGTGCCAGCCCTGGGCAAGAGCACAGCACGGTGGCCCAGCTGGCATTAAGCTGGGACCTCAGAGGCTGGTGAGTAGGAGTCCAGGGCACTGCAAAGGAGCTGTCCTCAGGCAGCCCTGCAGCCCAGCCTCATGAGGAAATCGCCGTGGCCCTAAATTGGCACTGTCCCCAGAGCAAACAAAGCCTCTCAGAAGAAACCATCATCTGGGCCCATTGATTTCTTTCCTTTTTTTGTTTCTTAGACAGGGTCTCACTCTATAGTTAAGGCTGGCCTTGAACTCACTTTGTAGTCTAGGATGGCCTCCAACCCATGGTAATCCTCCTGCCTCAGCCTCCTAAATGCTGGGATTACAGACATGTGAAACCACGCCCAGCAAGCCCAACTGGTTTCTACAAGTAACCTTTCAAATAATTTCTTCGAAATAGTTGGGCATAGTGGCCCTGGCCTGTAATTGCAGCTCTCTAGGAGGCTGAGGCAGGAGCACCAAGAATTTGAGCCCAGCCTGGACAATTTAGAGACTTGATATCTTATTTTAGAATAAAAGATAAAAAGGGCCGAGGATGGAGCTCAGTGTAAAGGCCCTGGGCTCAGCCCCCAGTACAAAAAAAAAAAAAAGATACTCTTCAAATAATAATGTCTAGTAGTTTTTCAAATGTAAGGTGCAGCTCCAGACATGGATCCCAGCCCTGAAAGCTCAGGAAGAGAAATCAGAGGCCATGGAAGACCCTGGGCCACTCTGTCCCGCTGCCTTGGGCCCAGCAAGTCCAACCCCGGCCTCGGCCTCCCTCAGGGGATCCAGGTGGCTGTCTGCACCTCACAGGTGTGGGGCCTGCATGCAGCTGTGGCATGAGGGACAGACAGCAAAGGTGGGAGCCCAGGAACACACCATGCGAAGAACACCTTCCTTCCGAGGGCACCTCGCACCAAGCAGCCTTGTGGGAGGGCTGCGGCCACCTGCTGCTGGGGAGGCTGCCACGTGCAGCTCCATGCAGCAGAGTGAGGCCCAAGATGGCCTCGCTGTTTCACTCTCTGCTTCTAAGGTTGGAGACCCTCACAGTGGCCCAGGTTCCCTCCACAGGACCGGATGGACCTGCTGGCACGGGTGGCCCAGGATCACGAGGAGTATCAGGCAGACGTGGAAGAGTTCCAGCTGTGGCTGAGGGCGGTGCTGGAGAAGGTGCAAGGCGTGGTATTTATCTCCTGCAAGCCCCCCACCACACCGCTGCTAAATGGCTCAGAGAAACTCAACAGGAGGGGTGCAGGGTCACCCTGCAAGGAAAAGGCAACATTCAGGTGCCTTCTGGGAGCAGGATGTGCAACAAATCAGAAGGGACAGTGCTGGACCCAACTGGGGGCCTGTCATTGGAGGCCCAGGTTCCAGAGGCCCACAGGCCTCGCCCTTTCGGTACCTCTTGTATTCCTGGATGGCGGACACCACACTGTCACACAGCGGCTGCAGGCTGGGGAGGGCAATGAGCTCCTTCAGCTGGGCCTGCAGGCAGTCCACCCGAGGCTCCTCTGAAGCCAGTGCCGCCCGAGATGCCTGCAGGACAAGACAACCCCCAGGGGCAATGAGGTTCCTTCAGGAACAGTGGGGTGTGCAGGGGCTGAGCATGGCCAGGGTGTGTGATGAGGCAGAGAAACCTGTCACCTGGGGAAAGGACTGGCTCCCTGGAGCTCGCAGAAGTCCCTGCTTCTTCCTGTGGACACAGCCTGTCTACTACCACTGAGGGAACTCAGGTACCAAAGGCCGGGAAAAGCAGGCAGGTGTGTTTGAGGTTTGGTGCAATTTGGCAACTGAGAGCAGCAAACCGAGGCTTGGCCGGATGCTGCTTACCGAGTAGAGCCTCCAGCGGGCCACCAGCTCATCTTCAGTCCCTGCTGTCGTCGCCATTGCTGAGGCCTCCAGCCCTTCCTGGGCCAGCCTCTGGAGGCCCTTCTGGAACTCTCCGAGCTCGACCTCCAACTGCCGGGTCCGCTGCTCACAGGCACCCTTGGATGAGAGCAGGTCCTGCAGCTGTGCCTTCTCCGTCTCCCAGAGGACCCGCCGCTTCTCCAGCACCTTCCGCATCTCCTCCAGTTCCCTGGCGATTTTCTCCGCGCCCAAGGGAGAGGTGTTCTGTATGATGCCTGCAGACCGTGCCTCCAGCCTCCTCAAAGACTCCTCGCCCTGGGAGAAATCCTTGGCAATGTCCTGCGGGGGACAGTGATGGGGGGATGGGAAACACAGGGGAGACAAGCAAATGCTAGGGTGCTCCTGGATCAGCCCTGGCCAAGGGGTGGACTGTGCCTTTGGGAACTTTACCCCCTTCCAAACCTTCACACCAGCAGATTTAGTCAAGAAGGAAGTCTGGTGGGCCCCTCTATATCTCCAGCACTCTCTCCATTTTTTAATCTTCCTTTTTAAAAAAAAAAACAAATAGGCTTGGAACCATCAGCAGGCAACACTGTAGTGACTAACAGAACCTGACAGCACCACTTGGTTTCATGGTGCATATTTGCATGGTTATCCACTCATTATGAATGGTACTGGATTTTCCACTTACAACAGTAATTTCAGTTTTTTTCCTAAATAATGTCAGTTTTTAAAAAAAGGTAGCTAAAGTTAAAGACAAACATGAAAGAAACAGGCCAGGTATAGTGATGCACACCTGTAGTCCCAGCACTAAGCAGGCAGGAAGATCGCTGAGAGTGTGAGGCTAGTCCGGGCTGCACAGTGAGTTCAAGCTTACCCTGAACTACATATTGAGGCCCTGTCTCAACCCCCACCCCCAAAAAAGTGCAGCTGCCTTACAACCATAGTGAAAATTTTGAGATGGTCCTTGAATTACTGAAGATAACCTATACACTCACTCTGCAGAGGAGTTGGAGGTTTTGCCAAAGTCACATGCTGGTGACAAGGTCCACAATGGACCCAGATCTCCCAGCCACAGGCCTGAAGGCTGCCAGGGCTCCTAACCCGGGGCACTGCTGACATTTGGGTTGTAGGTGCTCTCCTGGGTGGTGCAGGGCCTTTTGCAGCACCCCGCCCCACTCCCAGCTTCCGCTCACTAGAAGACAGTAGCAGCAGCTGCCCTCAGCTGTGACAAGTAAAACTGTCTCTGAGCACTGCCGTGGGCCCTGCACCAGAGCCCCACGGCCCTGTGGTCCCATTGCCCAAATGCCTGGCTGGCCCAGAGTTTGATTGGGCAGCCCAGGTCCCACGTGATTTGCCCCAGAACCCTTGCCCGTCATGGAGGGGAGTCTGCGAGTCCTGGATGTTTTGTCTCACCAGGGTGTGACACAGAATGGGTCACAGGTGGGGACCCTGCAGAGCTTACCTGCAAGGTGGAGAGACGGAGCTCAGCAGACAGCTGGCAGTGGCTGCCCACGCAGGCCTGCACCTTCTCCAGCACCGCCCTCAGCCACAGCTGGAACTCGTCCACATCCACCTGATATTCCTCGTGGTCCTGGGCCACCCGTGCCAGCAGGTCCACCCGGTCCTGTGGAGGGAACATGGGCCACTGTGAGGGTCTCCAACCTTAGAGGCCAGGAAGACCACAGCTGCGTGTGTGTGTGTGCGTATCTGTGAGCACGCGTGAGCAGTCAGCACTCAGCTCAGCCCCCGCACTGGAGACAGGCACCAGCACCACCCCAGGAGACTCTTGGCTTTGGAGACCAAGTGTGTGGGTGGAGGCCCTGTTCGTCCCCACCCTGTCCGGGTGCGGTGACAGAAACAATGACAACAACACGACTGCAGAGCCCCGTCTCTAGCTGAGCGTGGTGGTGCACACCAGTGATCCCAGCTACTCAGAAGGCCCAGACAAGAAGATTGCAAATTCGAGGCCAGCTGGGACACTTTGGGGAGGCCGTGCCTCAAAATAAAATAAAAAGGGCTGGGGATGTGGCTCTGGTACAGCACTTGCCTGGTGTGCACGAGGCCTGGGGTTCAGTTCCCAGTACCTTGGGGAGGAAAAAGAATCTAACTTTGAAAAGGGGAGAGAAACCCGAGACGGATGGAGGTGTGAGGGAGAAGGGGAAATAGAAAGAGTTCCGACGCATGGGTCCCAATTACCACCTCCCCACAGTGAACGTGACCGTTGTGAGCCGCAAACGTGTACTATTAAGATTTTTAAAAATCAGAAACAAAGGCCAGAGCAAGGAAGCCTTGGAAAGAAAAGAAAAAAGAATCTGGGCTCCTCGAATGCCCCTGGTCCCCAAGAGGTGCTGCCCTTGTTATTCCGGCTCGGAAGCCTCGCAGAGGTGCAGACTTGCCCAAGGTCACCAGCGGGACAAGCTGAGACACGAAGCTGGCAGGCAGGGCTAGGGACAGGTGTTCCCAGCAGGGACCCACAGGTGCCCCCAGGGCCTTCCTGGGGTGGGGGGACCTCACTGCATGGGCATGGATCCCCCTATTTGAGCCAAACTCTGGAAGCCATAATGGGCCAAGGGCAGAACGATGACACTGGGGGAAATGACAGCCCCTCCGTTGCTCCCCATGGCCCCAGGCTCGGGTGCAGGCCCTGAATCTTCACCATAAAAGCTGCCCCCCCATGCAGCTCTGAGGTCCCCAGGTCCCTCTGGGCCTGAGGCAGAACCCTGGCCTCACCTGGGAGTCCCCCCTCCATGCCCGAGTCCTGTGGCCCTACAGCAGTGACCAGCAAGCCCTGCACATCGGGGTGCAGGGCAATGGAGCAATTCAGACACACTTAATGGGCACCTACTGTCTGCACGGCTGACCCTGGTGAGCGTCACGTTATTCAAACTCACACCTTCCCCCTGCAAACATCTGAACTGGAGTCAGGAGGCCACCAGGCTCTCACAGGCTGGAGAGCTGAGGTCCAAAGGCAAGTGTCAGACTCCAAAGTCGCAGCTCAAGCCCGGGCCACCTCTTCCAGGAGCCTGGAGGAAACGCTCCGCACTGCCCACCTGCCATAAGGCTGCTGCTGCCTGCCCGTTACTCAGCCTCGCTGGCTCTAGCGCATAAACATCTCCCACAGCTAATAAAGAAAAGAGTGGCGGTGCTCCAGGGAAGTTTGCACTAAGGATGCTGACAGTGGGATTTCCCATTCTTTTCACACACCATGGAATAGTTAGTTGGCTTTGCAATTTTTCCCCCGCAAACATTTAAAAAAGGCGAAAGCCATCCTCAGCTCACAGCCTAGTCCACAGCAGGAGTGAGCGAGCAGGCATCAGTTTGCTGGGCTCAGCTTTGGCCATGGAGCGTGGCCACATCCTAACCCTAACCTTAACCCTGATCTTCACGGAGCTGTCACTGGCAGAGACCCAGGTGTAAAGGAAGACAGTCCGGGGAAGCGCCGGCTGGCTGCTCTGGTGAGTGGTGAGGTGCTGTTTACCCAGAGTAAACACTGGGCTCGGTGATCCAGGGCAGCGAGCCAGACGGGCCTGTGCCAGGCACGGCAATCACAGGGTGACGAATGGGACAGGGCTGCGCCTCCTCCTCCTCCTCCTCCTCCTCCTCCTCATTAAACCAAACCATTAAGCTCTGCGAGCA